TTATATATAGTGTAATACTGCCCTGAGTGACAGACTTTTTTCCCACTCGTAAAAAAAAGGCGTATTCGCCATGTGCCGAACCGTGACGGTACGGGACGAATACGGATACCGTTACACCCCTACTATGTAACACTTGTGCTTCTATTGGCTAGCGCTCAAACATATTGTACGTGATAGGCTAAGGGGCGGGACACAAAATACTAATATGAACCTGAAAATGAACATAATGGGGCCCATTTAAGTAACAAACCCAAAACAGCATCCCAAGTGACAAATTCTGCTCTCATTTCCCCCTGGGACTCATGACACTCATTCCTGGCCCTGTGTTTCTCAGGTGACGAGGAGCCGCCTGCTGTGACGTCGCTCCGCTGCAGCGCCGCTACAGTTTGTAAAGCGGAGCTGCACCACCATCACCACCTGGAGCACGCAGACGGACTCGCACCTGTGGCCACATTGTAGGGGACCAGCCCAATGATGTCATAACGGAACCAAAAACAAATTGGCCTCGGACCTGAATCCTATCTTAAAAACCATGGAAATTATACTGGAATTAACTCAATGGCACTGCAGTGGTTCACCTGTGGAAGATCCTGCTCCGTAGTAACTACGGTAGCCACTACATGTAGAACCTTGTTCCTGGAAGTTATTGCGTTTTATAACTCTTGGCCTTGGTATCTATTGTAAGTGCTGCGTGTTTAGAACAATGATAACAATGCCAACCACTAAGTTATGTGACTTACCTCCCTGGTAACTATGGTAACCACTAATCCCTTAAAACTTGTTTACTATTGCGTCATTTTCACTGCATGATATGCCAAGATGTCTCACCTCACCTCTTTTTTTATCGTTTTCAAATTTCAGACTTTATTTTACTTGGTCATTTATATGATACCAACTTGGTACTGGTTCTAAGTGAGCTGTGCCGATGCTAGAATGTTGACTTAAAGAGGCCCTATTATGCTATGTGTGGTTTTCCCATTCCTGTAGTGTGTTATATAGGTTTCTGTGCATGTAAATAGTCTGCAAAGGCTCAAATCCCCACGTTCCCTTCAGAGGGAGTTTCTCTCCTTCAGAGTCATTCTAACCATAATTTAACTAAGAAATATCAGCCTGCAAAACTATTACAGTACAGCACAGAATACAATTGACATACGTTACTTGTTTTTTTTGCCATTATCCAGCAAACATTGCATAGAAAATGATGTCAGAGATTTCACGCAGTGTGGGGAACGGCTGAGAATCCTGCCTGTACTGAGGGGAGGTGCTACTAGCACTGGAAACAAAATGCAAAAAAAAGACGTGGTACCAAATGTGAGACATGTCGAACCATGCAGTACAAATGAGGCAGGTAACTGTGGTAAGAATGGTAACACCAGCTACAGCGTGTACTACACTAGTGCCTCGGATACTACGGTACTTTGTTGGCACTGCCTGAATGATTTTTGAAGGACTGGATCTACAGGTGCTGGCTAAGTTGACCAGATCAAACCAAAGACTGCCTCAGCACTGTGATTGATTGACAGCTGGCCCAAGTATGAAATGATGTTCAGGCACTTTTTGATGCGGGAACGAAAAGACAATGCCACAAACATGTTCTGAAGCTCCCCGGGAGAAACATCCAACAGGATCCAAGGATCTTCTGATCTTCTGTGATTAACCACAAAGATTTCTTTAAGAAAATCTGCAACTCTGAGGATATTATACCATATATATGCTCATCCCTTAAAGCAGCAAATATGAACATAACAACTGCCTAATAACAAATCATTCAACTGTAAAAAATAACTGTTCAAGAAACTGTCAGAAATGTAATCTTGCTTATGTGATATCATATTTTGGACAAGTTTGATGGAATATGTATTGAAGTGAAATTCTTAGTTTTTCTCTGCTTTCCAATTAACAAGTTCAGAGCATACAATTCAGACTCATTCAGCTGGTGGTATAACATATTGAACACTGGGGACATTGTTAAGCTTGTGGTTACATATTTTAAAGTATTCAATATTAATGTTACATTTATTTTCATGTATTTCTTGTTAAATTCTTATCTAGCATTGTTGCAGGAAGCAGCGATGAGGAGGGCATTATGAAAAGTGACACTTTTTTTGTAAAAATCCTTATTACTAAACCACTTTGAAGATGCATATACGGTATGGAAGCCCATTTATGCCAGAAGAAAGATAAATTCATTAAATGTTGTCAAATAAAATTACGAAATAATGTCACATTTTCTGGTTACTATGTAATAAATATGCAATACAGTTTAAGTTATGGAAGAAGATAGTAATAATCTGCCTTCATAACTTTGCATTTGGCTTAATCACGGTTACATATCTCATAATTGTGACTAAGTCCTTGCAAATGAGCTTCCATACACTTTTTTCCAAGTTGTTTTGTCCGTTTCTTGTGGTTTGAACCACCATGTGTTTAAAGTTTTATAAAATATTTTTATTTTCCTACTCAAATGTTTTATGTGACGACTTCTGCATGGTTGAGTATGTTGGAAGAGAAGATTCAGCATTTCCTACTTGTAAATAGTATTCTTATTTTTATTTTAACCCTGGAAATGTCTGTTCTGCTTCAATTTAAGAGTTAGTCTGTCGTTTTACTATTCTCTCTACGTTTGATAGTAATGTACTGTTTTAAAGTACCCTAATGTAGGAAATAGATAAATTCATCAAATAAAATGTTTGTCTTTGCATCTTTTTGTCATTCTTTGAGTGTTAAAGGGTTTGTTATTATATTTACAACATTTTTTTTGTAGTTCCTCAAACAAGATCACCAAAACAAAAAATCACAAGAGGCGAAAATTAACCCCTGCATATTTGATTTAATGCTAGTCACAAAGCTGTCACAAAAAAAGCTGATCTGGTAAAGGAAAGGATAAATACTTTAGGACAATACAAATTCATAAGGACATGCTAGACACGGTATTTATATTGCTTTCAGCTCGTAATAATTTCTCACTTGCTTCAAGCTGACGCATTTTGGTTTCTTACAGTAAAACACGCTCTTACTTCACTGATATGAAACCATCAGACAGCTCCATAGTGTGTGATCTGTGAAGCGTCAATGCTTAAAACAACAGAAGCCTCCAAAACACACAGACAGCACAGGGCTACCTTCAAAATAAAAGCACTGTTTGGAGACGGGCTGTACATATTCATTCATTATCTATTTATTTAATGATTTTCCTTTTTCAAATGTTGTCCTATCTTAAACTAGGTAATCAACCTAAATTATTTTTGCTGCAAAGACAATTGTGTCCGTAGCACTGATATATTTTCAATTTTAGACTGTCTTCTGTTTATTTAGTCTTGGATTGCTGCTTGGACAGCATTTAACCTCTTTGGTACCTTAAGTAATGTGTAACACATTTAAAACGTATTATCTTAGCACAGGATTTTAGTGGAACAAACATAAATGCATCAAAATTCTTAAAGAATCAAAACTAAGTAGGCCTACTCATTAACCATAATGTTGCATTTGGTAAATGAGTACTTAGTTTTGAGTACTCAGGAATATATATATATATATATCCTTAGATTCATATATAATAAGTTATCGTGTACGATATAATTATATTTCGTATTATTACTCTTGATCTGCAAATGAAAGAAAGCTTTCAAATCAATGTAGCGCAATAGAAGATTGGGGAGAAGGGTAAATCGAGCCACCCCCTGTAACCAGGCAACGCCTTATAGTTGTAATCACGTGACCAGAAATTATGCTAGCTCCTCCCATTTCTCATTGCCTGTGAAAGAGAGATGCTCATTGTGGTCTGGTAAGTAAACATTTTTACAAAAAAACGTTTTTTGCTTGTCAAAGGAAATGTTCTAGATGTCAGCTGTATCGGCTGCCATGTCAACAAAAAAAAAGTGTCCAGATTTAAACACATATATTGTATATGTTGATGTGTTGGCAGCGTATTAAACCATGTGAATCATTAAGCTAAAGATGACTGAATTTTAATACTAGGCTATTTTTTCTAAAATGGTGGCTATGGGGTAAAGTGAACCATGGGCCTTGGGGTAAGTTGAGCCAGTTTTTCAATGGAGAAATTAATGAAAGTAGGCCAAGTTGATAATAAGAGCTCATTGTAGGCTACATTTAAAGTTGAATTTATTGGTAAGATGTATGAAATTGTATCACAATTTGTATGATTACTTTTCCTTTTAACAATAACATGTTAAAAAAAATCAATCAATTCAATCGAAATTTATATTATAAATATTTGAAAAACTAAACTTGTATTTGATTTGTTATTTATTGTTTAAAGTTACCTTTAAGATTTGTTATAGGTATGTCCAGGTTTGAACAGGTATGCCCAGGTTTGAACAGTGGATCAACTTACCCCCTGACCTGGATCTTACCCCGTAACCCGGGGCAAGTTGAGCCACAAGACCACTTTTTTTTAAGAAGTAATATTTCCACTGCCCTTGATCAAATATGAATTCCTATCATTGTCATTGATAGGAGACATCCTGAATTATAGGTGTGTGCTTTCATTTGACTATGTCATTTCTTCTTGCTTAGAGGACAGCATAACTAAAAAATGGCTCAACTTACCCCACTCTCCCCTACTATTTCCCTAGTGGAGTATAATGAAACATGGAGTCACTCAGTTCCAAGTATCTCAAACATGATTACATAACTGCAACACTGGGAAAAAAATACTTTTTAAAAATTTGTTTTTGTTATTTAAAAAATCTATGCTTCAACAGGTGACAAGACAAGAAAATACATTCAGTACATCACTACAAAAAAGGCAGAACAGGCATGGTAGAAGGACATAGCTGTAAGGGAGAAAATAAAACAATAACTTAAACTTCCTGTGGCACATATGAGCACATGTATATAATTGTTTTAAGTTTAGTGGAGTAAAATATATTTAGTTTCTTTCCACCACTCGCTGACCAATATCGGCTCTTATTTTGAAGGCGTCACCGGAAAAAGTTATCTGTCCTCGCGCTTGACGGTTACTTGAAAGTTGGCTTTTCCCAGCGACTCAGTATGTTGTTCAGCTTTAATCTTCACACTTAAATTCACTTTTGACTCATTACAGCAGAGAAAAAGTCGGTTTTTTTACTCACCGGATCCGTGACAGCAGTCGGAAACAGTTTATCTCAGTTCAGTGTTTGTTTGTTGGTTTTAAATCCGTTGATAGTGGATCTGTTTGTGGTCGTCGGGAGGAGCTGCAGCCCGATGCCGGCAGGTGATGGATGTCAACGGCCGCGGTTCAAGGTGAGGAGCGGCACCGGAGAGATTAGTCACACATATATTAGAAACGGGCTTGTTTTAGTTAGAAGAAGAAGTTTGTGAGGAGTTCAGACAGGGAGTTAATTCCTCTACCAACTGCCTGTCTGCCTGTCTGTATGTTACATTATAAAAGCTGGGAGTATTGTGAATAGTAGTTTAGAGACCCTGAAACACACTGAGTGGGCCGAGGCCTACCAGAGAGGGAGAGGAGAAAAAATTATTTTATTGCTGCCCTGTGAGTCACAAGTTTTCCGCACACACACACACACACACACACACACACACACACACACACACACACACACACACACACACACACACACACCACACACACACACACACACACACACACACACACACACACACACACACACACACACACACACTCTCTCCTCTGCAAACAGTAAACATGGCAGCTTGGTGAGGAAAGTTATGTTTATTTGTTGTTTTTCAGTTACTGATACTCCCAGTCGTGGAAATTAACTGAGATTAAGAGAATTGTACAAAAGACAGTATTATACAATAAGACAAATATATCATTGGAAAAAAGAAACAGAATATACAATAAAGTTGTGTACAGCAGAATAAAATAGCTTACTGTAATACGGAGATGCATGAAAGTGTTGAAAGTGTTGTAATAACACATCTGTTTATGTATACATTATGTTCTATCCTCCAGAGACCCACCCATTCATTTTTGTCCTCTGTGGTGCACATTGGTTTTTGGTCCATGACTTTGAGGTTATACATGCCACAGCATTAACTCCAATTGTACTCCACAGAGGACATCCTGGGCTTTTCAATCATATGACATTTGTGGGGGTGTGGCTTTGAAAAAGATAATTTCATTGTATTTCAAAATGGCGTCCATCAACACAAGCACTATTTATAGAAAGAGAAATGGTAAGTTTGTAATTTTGTAATTACCAGTGTTGTGAGTTCAATATGTTTAATTAATTACTAGGAACATCTTAGGAGTTAGTGTAGTGAGTTTTCAGAGCAGTGTAATCATTATTTGACCTAAAACTAAATGTTTTTATGAATGTCCTCTGAGGAGGACATGGGGATTTGCTAACTTTTTACTCCCCCCATTTTACACAATACAAATGGAGGCAGCTCACTAACCAAGGCAGAGAGAATTCTGAACAGAATCATTGAGGGAGACTCAGACATAGATCTGTCACGATGATCCACAGTGATTGAGGAGGAGGTGGTTGACAACTCTGAGGAGGAGGCATTGACTAGGAAGAGCAGGAGACAGTTACAGAAAAAAGGCCCATTGTCCACTATGGGCCAAAACTAACGCGTAGGTTTCTGTAGGGTTCATCGCAGACGGATGCAGTGGGAAAACATACATCAAGTGCCTCAAGTGTCAGATGTATCTCTGCATTTCAAAAAAGGATGGAGTACTACAAATGAGGGCTCAGTATTTGTTGCAGTGAGTTGTTGTGCTCTAATGTTGTCTAAATGTACTTGTATGTTAATGTTATTTGTGTAACTAACACCTGATGTCCTCTACAAAGGACACACAATAAAACAAACATTTAAATATATATTTTGTGTTTTTGTTAGTCATTATGTTAATACCACCCTAAAGACTTGTGTGATCTAAAAAAAGAAAGAAATGTGAAACCTTTATCTTTCTGGGTCTCAGTATTCCTCAAGTACTTTATTTAAAAGGTTGAGGTATTTGTACTTTAGGCCGAGTTGAGTGTTTACATTTTCTGCTACTTTATTTACGCTAATATGCTTCTGTACATGTATATCAGAGGTAAAAAAAACACTAAATATATTTGATATTGAATTAGTGTAGGATTATGGATTCAAACTTTATTGAACGCTTGGTGAAAGTCATGAGCAAATCAGCAGTGTCAATGAAATAGAAGAAAGAGCCAATGAACATGATTGCATCGATGAAATCAGCAGCTTCAGAGCTAGTTCATGATGAAGGTACATTCTAATGTTATCAGAAGTGTTTAAATGTAATCTTGTAAAGTGTACTTTTTGCATGATAAATAAAGTTTTCACAGCAATATAAAGTAGATATTAGAGAGGGAATTATGACCTGTTCAATTCAAATGGTAATAAATAGTTGTATGTTGAAATACATGGATTTATTTATTTATTTGTACCATTAAAGCAAATAAGTATGGAGAATCATGACATTTCTTTGGCATTTTATATTGCCATTTAGCTATATTACATTTAATACTTTTCTGGTATGCTGACATATACCTACTAATAACAAAGGGAGTCAAATGATTGTAGTGAGGTATGACACTTACCCCCAAACTTCAGTGGATTAAAAGCAAAAAGTAGCATAGCATGAACATACTGAAGTAAAGTACAAATACCTAAAAAATGTACTTGAGTATAAGTACTCAGTTACAATCCTCCGCCACAGACTTGTGTGTTTATGTTGCCGTACAATCATAATGACAGATGGGGAATTGTTGTTGTTTCTAGAGGAATGTGGTTCTGCTGCTGAAGGACAGTGAAGAGGTTTGTTCTTCTGCTGCGTTGTTCTGTCACTTACCGTCATGTTTCCACGAGCAGAATGCTGCCCTGCTGGTTATAGGAGGGGGTGTGTGTGTGTGTGTGTGTGTGTGTGTGTGTGTGTGTGTGTGTGAGAGAGAGGGAACTGTTTAGATCAAATCAGCAGTCCAGTCCATTAGAGTTTCTCTTAACAAAATGAATAGGAAAAGTCATCTGTCGTATGAATTTTGAATTCATGAATAAGAAGGTTTTTTTTTTTTTACTGTATTTTAAATCATATTTGTTTACGCTACAGCCTGACCCTTTTTCAAATAAAAAGTATGTAGTCACATTAGCTGGCTTATTTATGTGTGAACTGTGACCATGAAAGCAGAGATGTTTGTGTTTTATTGAATTTGGTGAATTCATTTTTTAATTAGCCATGAAACTCAGAGTCAAAAAGAAACACACATTTATTAACGTGCAATGTTAAAACAGAGAAAAGCAGACAAATTGTCGATGGGAAATATTATATTTTGCTTGATGAATGACTGAAATAATGAATCTGTTTTTTTAATTGCTCATACATTTGTACTATTACTTGACCACTCAACACCCTTTCAGCACTAAATATTTGGGTATAATATATTAGAAAAACGATACATACCAATTGGGCGTTTGTTTTGGAATAATTACAAGTATTAGAGTTTGTTGGAGCAGGTTGAGTTGTGAGCTGAGGTTTGCAGGTCTGGGATCAGCTGCTGTTTCCTGAGCCATGTCATCACATCATGTTCAGATGTGTCCTCCTCAGCAGGAAACGTTATCCCTCTCCCTGGAGGATAATACATGGCTTACATTTGGCTGCTCTAAAATAGTCTTCTTTATTATTTACACTTTGTTGTTGTTGGTGTTTCATATAAGAGTCACAGTAAATCTGAGAAGCTCTGAGTTTTCTTCTGAAATAAGAATAATTAAGCTTATCATTTCACTGTTGATCAGAAGATCACAAACTCCACCTGGGCAGGTAACGTTTTATTATGAATCATGGAACTGAACACTTTCAAACTTTCAACTTTTCCGAGCAGTTTCTATGACAACTGGAATAATTGTTGTTTTTCTATAATTGTAATTTGTCCAATAAATCCCCTGAAAAGACCGTACTAATTTTCCAGTATTTGAAAAAATAATTTGTGTTAAAAATGTTTTCTACGGTAGAGTATGAAGTATATGTGAGCTCCTGGGTTTTAACATCTGCCCGGCAGGCTGGTGCCAGATGAGTCACAATGCATTGTGGGGCATTAGTGTATGTCAAGAAAGCCCATGTCTCCAAAAGAAAGAAAGATACAGTCTATTTGTTACTGCCTATATTCAGCTGTAAATGAATCTACATTTGGTGCTCTAGTGAGTATGTATGGCAGCAGTACGGTGTGAGAATAAGTCAACTTAAATTCTTTAGAACTTCTCAATCTGAACACAAAACACTCAGCTTGAGTCTAAATCTGAGTGTTTACTGGGAGATTCAAAACAGATGGGGGGGTAAAAGTAAATCAAGAAAAAACGGAGAGAGAGAAGCATGAGCCTGCAGGCAAACACACCTCTGTTCGATTACAATCTAGAGTGTGCATGTGCGTGTACGTGTGTGTGGGTGGGTGTGGGTGCATCCAGGGTGGGACGATTTGTTCTATCATAAAAGGCAATGCAACTCCCACCGATGAGTCACACAGTTAAATACACATATGTAAACACACACACACACAAAGAACACACTTTGATCAGATACAAATGCAGAATACATTTCTGTTAGCATGTGTTTGCATCTGTACTCCCTTATGATGGACTCACCTTACCCCACAATGCAGCACGGTGGTTGTTCGGGGTGTGTGTGTGTGTGTGTGTGTGTGTGTGTGTGTGTGTGTGTGTGTGTGAGAGCATGTGTTTTCCTGTATATACATAGGTAAGGTGACACAGGTTTAAGAATGTCCTAAGTAAAGACTTTAGTAATTTATAAATTATTTGCTAGGAAATATCTGTAACAATTTACAGTTAAAGCTTGTTTTACTACGACATGTTAGGGTCACAGTAGGGGTAACTAAATCTGCACGGGGTAAATAAAGCTGTTAAATACATGTAGTGGAGTAAATTGCACAATATGACCCTCGAGTAAAAGCATAGAATAGCATTATATGGAAATACAAGTATCTCAACATTGTACTACTATTTGTACTAAGATACTTTAGTAGTAGTAGAACCTTTATTTAGCCAGGAAAATCAATTGAGAACAAATTGTTATTTTCAATGATGACCTGACAGGAGGCAAAAGGCTTCCTGAGGGGATGGGGATTGGGAGGAAGAAAATCAAAAGACAGACTCCGAGCACTACAGAACCCAGGAGACAACACAATGACACAGAGCAGAGATGGCAGGCATAGCAGTTCAACATATAACATACCTAGAATAATACTTTCCCCTACTGTTTATAACATAACCATCACAAATATAATGTTAAGGATGCCAATTGATAACTAAATAAAACTGCCAAGTCTTTGTAAATGTGTGTAAGACTTTATTTTTAATAAATCACCTGGCAGATAGGTGTACATATGTACACCAATCTACTCTCTACTTAAAAACCAGTTTGTTTAGTACCTGTTGTATTTTTATGAAGCGTAAATATCCACTTCGTTCTCACAAGGGAAGGTCGTGTTCCTAAAAAAGGAGTATGCATATGCTAATCTAAAACCAGTATGTCAAATAATCACACAAAAAACAAATATAAAAACACTGTTTCATCGAGTTGGTTTGTGTGACTATTTAGGACCCAGCGCTACACATTCAAGTGAATATATGAGCTCATAGGGCACAGACAGTAGATATATGGGGCAAAATATAAGGAAAAATGAATACAGAAATACTAAGGCTGCATTCCCAGTTGCATATTTTATAATCCAATTCGGTTCATAATATTTATGAGATTGGGGCACCATGAACTTTGACCCTTTTGCTCCTGTATCTGCTGTGCAAGGGATTGTGGGTCGGAATAGCAAATAAGAGAACAGTGAGATTACCACGTACTCATACCAGATGGGAGTATCAGAAATCCCCCCCAAAAATGGTGTAAAATGTCTTAAGTAGAATCACGTGCAGTGTAGTGAATTTTCTCAAGCTTCAGGCGAGACATGTTCTTAAGCCGCTGAGAATGTGTGGGTAGGGCAGCTCCCTTTCATCTAATAATAATAATTAAAAAGAAAGCATGTCTAGCTTAGTGTGGCAAAAAGCCAGAGCATTACGCTTAGTTGAGTACATGAACATTCTCAACAAAGGGCAAGTATTAGGATGAGTTTAATTGCACCTTGTTTTATTGTTTTTACCTTTATCTGTGTCTGTATTAGACTTTATGTTCTCTGCGATCTAAAAGACCCTCAATACTTTATATTATTTACTAGTTACATGTAATGTCCAAAGGATACCACCAGTAGGAGCTCTGATCAAACTTAAACCTAAACTACAGTGCAATATATAATGCTTCTATACAGTCTAAACAGATTGTTGGCTTGTTTGCAGGGATACAAAAGGACCCCTTTTCTAGGATGTATGCATTTCACCTGTTAAGCCCCAAGTCTGTTTTTCAGGTCTCAGGCTCGAAAATGACATTCCCAGAACAAATGACCATATCTTCCTTTCTAAAAGGAGTAAATTAATAATCTTTTTTTTTCTCAAAGCAATGATAAACCTGTGAGTTGGATGTAGAAAAGTCAGAATCAATATAGAATTGTTTTTAATTTTAAAGTAAATTCAGATTGAACATAGTAAAAAATATAGTGAAAACCACCCTTGAATGATGGGATAGTAGACTAAAAGCTTTTAGGAATCTAAACTATAACATATAATAAGTGTGGGGGAAACTTCTGTGTAGCAATGCAGTGGAGTCACCGACTCATGAAGGAGACACGGGAAGAGCAGGAGCTTTGATGTCAAACACTGATGGTTTATTTGGAGCTTCGGCCGGAGATTTCACATCACAAGTCACAGCAGCCACGGTCTGACTGCACGGTAGAGTTGCCACGTCAATTCTGAAGAACTCTACACCAGACCCATGTATTTAGCTAGTTCAGAGAGCATCATCAACATGCTGCATAACAAGATAGAATCATAACACCTCTATCAGCTGACGCCAACAGGCAGGAACAGGGAGACAGAACACTGAGAGCACAGCAGCCAAGGTTACGAGGTGCGTGTGCTCAGTCAGGACAGTTTGAACTGATAAACTGGGTCAAAGTTATGGGTCTTGGAAAATATTTCCCCAACAATAAGTACCCTGTATCAAGATTGATGCAAAACAAGTGACATTTGACCTTTTTAGAGAGGTTTAGCAAAAAAAAGGTTTTTTTTTCACCTTTGGGGTCATTTGGGTGGATTTGCCATTTCTCTGGAACCCATTGGTCAATTTTGGTGATTGACCTCTCTTTTGAACCGTTAGAGCCAATAGAATCGAAGGGGAAGTTCCACATACACACACGTTACCATTGAGGAGTGAGAGTGACGTGCACGCAGTCGAAAGCTATGTTACGCTCTGAAACCTAGGCTCAAACTAGTAAATATGAAGATGGGTTATCAGTAATAATTTCAAAGTGGCACAGACACATTGGATTAACCATTGGATGAACCTTCAGCAGCGTTTTTATCGTTTTGATGCCATTGAACACAACTTTTGATCAGAACAACAGCAAATGTAAGACTATTCGCGCGTTTGCTCCGTAAAGCTACGTTGTGTGATGTCTGGTTTTGCTTCCCATGCCGCGAGTTCTGGTCGCTCAGTGATGATACTTATATTTCTGGAATCTGTGGAATCGCAGCTTGCTAGCTGATGTCTTGTTTGTGCAGATCCGATAAGTGATGGGTTCTGAGCTAAGTGCGTTAGCATTTTTCCGCTCAGGGCTAATTCAGAGGCTCGGCGTTAGACTTGTGTTTCGTTTGGCTAAAAATGGTTCATATCGTCAGTTACCTGAGTTTCTTCCCGCTAAGTGGATATGACACATTCATAGTTTGTTAAATGTTAAGAAGCCCTCAGACGCTGTTTCTTGCAAGATGTTGCGTTTTGGGGGGCATGGGGCTTAACAGGTTAAATACATCATTTTTTACTGTTCAGTAAACCTAGCTCAGTGACATCTTTTATTATTATTATTACATTGCATTTAGCTGACGCTTTTATCCAAAGCGACTTACAATAAGTGCGTTCGACCAACAAAATACAAACTTGAAGAAAACAGAATCATATAAGTACATCAGGTTTCATAGAGAAAAAACATTTCAAGTGCTACTCAACTGGCTTTAGAAAGCCAGCCCTTTATTAGTATATAAGTGCTTTGTTAATAGTTCTATTGCTCGAAGTGGAGTCGAAAGAGATGAGTTTTCAGTCTGCGCCGGAAGGTGTGTAAGCTTTCTGCTGTCCTCATTTCAATGGAGAGCTCATTCCACCATTTTGGAGAGATGCACAGACTGCAGCTGGGACACAAACCACCAAATACAAAACAATAATTCAGATCCAGTCGTCATGACTCCACTCCGGAGGGATTCCCCGATCATTTCTTACAGTTTCTCATCAAGGGGGTGTCTCACACTGCCTGAGGAAGGCTATATTTTTGTCATTAACCTTTTTTGGACCACTTATTTATTTATTTTAGTGACGATCCGACCTCCATGCTAATACTCTGGTTCAAACTGCATCCACCAAAACAATATGATTTATCTCGACCTCCCCAAAAGAACCAAAATCTGACACGGTGTGAGCTGTTCTGTCGTCATTTCCTGCGATCTTCTTCATTCAGTCAGTCAAAATGAATGAATGGGCGTTTCTTTGACTATTTATAGGCAAATATGGGCGTTACGTGAAGCCCGCAAAAGCTGCGCAGCATTTCGAGTCGATTGTGATTTATAAAGAGAAAGCCGGCGTGCCGTACGCACTTCCCTCGCTGGTACGCGATGTTTTGTGAATCGGAAAATGTCGGAACATTTCTGTACCTATTTTTTTGCTTTGTACTACGTAAGCAACCTTCCCACGTGAATCCTATGCAAGGCTTTATAAATGAGGCCCCTGGTTTTTACTGGGGCTGGGGTGGTTCAACTTGATTTTGGGGGGGGGGGGGGCGCCATAGTTTATGGGCACTGTACACAATATAGGCGTAGTTCTGTTAGTATAAGATAATAAGATGTACTTTGTTGATCCAAAATCGGGAAATTGTGTTGTTATGAAATACAAAAAAAATATATATTTTTTTTATTTCTAACTTTTTTATTTATTTTTATTTTCGGTGCCCCCCATTGATTGATGCACCCTTAGCATTCGCCTATACTGCCTATGCCAAGGGCCGGCCCTGCCTCCAGCTTTAACAATTGAGCTATTTTATTTATTGTGATTCCTGATTTTTTTCTTCAAGAGCTTTTTATTTATTTTAATAGAAATCTGATTTAATGTCTTTCAATTTGTGTGTGTTTCCATTTAAGTTCATTGGCAGTCCTTTTAAATCTCAATTGTTCATTCTAGTTAAGGAGGAATGAATACTAATCAAAATGTCCTTTCCTCTTCTCTCTCTTCAGGTCGAAGCTGCAGAAGAAAACGTCCCCCTTCTCTCTCCTCTCTCCTGACAGCTGGTCCCTCAGTGGGGTAAGATCAAATCTAATTGAATTGTTCAGGGCATTTTTTAAATGTTACACTACATATAAAGCACATCAAAGTAACTCCATTACAGATATAAAGGATCAGAAAGAAGTCAAGAACATCCCCTCAACACCTCAAATGCCATTATGTTTCTAATGTAACATACTAAACTAAACAAGTGCTGAATCTATATTGATCTTTCAGTCTGGACTAAAGTATTGACTGCCACTGCACTGACGTCCTTAGACCAGTATCAGGAGCTTGGAGTTTTGGTAAACCTTTTTTATAATAAGGCACATTCCAATACACTGTACAAACACTTTGGCACAACAGCTCACAGAAGGCTATAGAACTCAAAAGTATCTCTTATGCTAACAAGCTAAACATTCAAAGGTTCAAGTTGTTTAAGTGGTTTCACCTTGGCTGTATTGAAACATCCAAAGCCCCTACAAATGTTTTTCCCTGACTCGTCTTTAGCATGTTGGTTGCGTCTCCATTCACATCCCCTTACAATGATGGAACAACGCCAACACAACGTCCTCGTCTTTTACACAACTCTCTCCTTGTTGCTGTAGTGGCTGACAGGTTACCCTCATACAGGTCTTCCAGCTCCTGTGTTTCATGTTTTGCTCACGCCATTGTGACGGACAAACAGCGACATTTCACATGTTGTGCTAATTTAGCGACTTTCGCTAACGCAGTTCGACTCAAAGTTTAAAGGGCCGATCTTGCACTTGTGAACTTTTGATTTGTACTATGTGTATATATGTTCGGCTGCATGTGTCCGATCTTTACCCCAATATCCAGAAGGTTTTTCACAAAGAGTCGTTGCAGCCCTATCTTAAACCAAATCATTGGACTGATTACAAATATTGAAATGATGATTGAGCTGGTTTGGAAACTCATGGGATCACCAAAGTATCCTGTGGATAATGTGAATGTCTGTTTAGAATCAAACCCAGTGTTCATTATACTGATTTTGTCTTTATATAATGTATACATCAATTTCTCTGGATCAATATCGACTGACTGTTGAGGGAAATACTTTCCTAGGCCCATACCTTTAACCCAGTTTATCACTCTCCACTCCCCTCGCTGAGCTCAGGCCTGCTGCACTCTTTGTGAGAGTGTTAGAACGAGCTTAATACATGGGACTTGGGCAGGAGCTGTGTCACCTCGTGGCTGCAGCAAACGTCTTTGTCAATTTCCTGGCCGTAACCTCCAGCTCTCCTGTGTTCTCATTGTGTTTCGACTCCTTGCTCCAGAAGTTTCCATTACATCTACCAATCAAAAATTGCCATCCCGTGTGTTGCCCGAGAAGCTAAAACCATTAACACACCTAGATGTATATACTGGTTTTAAAAATGTTCCTTTAACTAAGTCGGTGTTTTAGCATTATAATAAACGTATATTTCATTTGCGTGATATTTTTTATACCAGAGTTGTTGTCTCTAGAGCTGGTGTCTCCGTGTCTCCTGTTGCTGCTAATTATAGACGGCCTGTTTCCCCCTACGACCGTCACTTCCTGTTTGTCCAATGGGAACTGAGTGGACACACACACACACACACACACACTGTACACATTGTGAAGGGTTCTTGTTCCTGAGGGTCTGTAGATCCATTCAGAGAGGAGGTGAGGCTTATGAGGTTAGGAGGAGAAGAGATGAGAGAAAAGCCTTTTTAATAGTTTGACTGAACAAAAAGAAAGGAGAAGGAGAATAAGAAGTGTCTCTTGGAGTGACAAACTGGAGGAAGAAGAGAAGAAAAGAAACAGAGCAGAGTGAGAGTTCAGAAAAGGAAAGAAGAAGAAAAAAGAGAATTGCAATGTGACTGTAAAGCTGATTCAGAGGAGGCGAGAGGATACAAAAAGAAGACAGGATTCATTTGAAACTTCTGTGTCAGAAAAGGAACAGCTGATGTGACTTTGGGTTGAAAACCAGAAGGAAGAGGAGTAGCAGAATTGCAGAGAGTTGATTAACACTTGAAGTGTTGGAGGAGCAGATCTAATCTTGATGATGGGCTGCTGTCTGTTTGTTTACTATCGGGTGAGTCAACGTGTCTTGATGCTTTCAATGACAACCTGAAAGGATTCGCTGAACGTTTATAAGATAAGATAAATAGAAACATAGATGGTCACACAATCAATGCAATTATTAGCAGTATTTAGTAGGTAGTAGTGCAAAAAATAAAACGTAGTGGCAGTTACGTAATTGCACGTTATCATAGCATTATTAATAATACTAATAATAATAATATTGCACATAGTTATATATAGCAGCGAGTGTTATTAACCTCCATCCTCTTGTCGTATTAGTTTTGTGCTTTGTATTTTATTTGCGTTATGTATCACCAACTGTTTCCCACATTTCTTATCAATATAGCAGTCAGCTAAAACGTGTTTAATTGCATTGTAATTGTTGCTAACCCACATCGGTGATTTTGAGTTGGACACTTTCTTGGAACTGTGATTCACACTACAGTCATGCTCCATGCGGCGCCTGCATCCATATTTACGTCTGTGGTGAAACAAGTGTTGAGACAATGGAACAAAACAAATCAGGAGGAGAAAAAAACAATAAATGAGAAGCTACCATTTGTACGTTTTTGGTTGAAAAATGACTGGAAGCATTATTAACTGTTCAGTTCATTTATTTATATTGATCAGTTGACTAATCAGTTGACTAATCATTGCAGATCTCAACACTTAACATCAATTGATACAAACAAACACACATGATAAAGCAAAAGTGCATGCACCAGCCTCTGCACATACATAACATGTGCAAACCAAAACATATATTTCATTAGGTGACCAACAATTCACAGAATAAATGGAAAATATATTTTAGCCATATTTTGTACTGTTGGACAGAGCCAGGCTGTTATCCCGTTTTCAGTTGTTATGCTAAGCTAAGCTAGCTGTCTCTTGGCTCTTATAAAAAGGGGATAAGAACGACACTGTGGTAGATTCAGTGTATCCCAATGATGCTTTATTTAGGTTTCCCCATCTTTATCAAAACATCTAAATATACAAACATAGGAGAACAGAGAACAAATATTAAAATTATGAAAATACAAATAATACAATTATGACAAATAAACTTTACAGATCTAAAATTATAATAAAAAAACAGGTTATTCTACAAAAAGTTTACTGTACAGTTATCATTTTCTATTTAATTTTTTTGCTTTTGAAAGTCAATTTATGAATGCTAAAGTATTCACTTAAGAATCCTGTGAAATTGGTAGTGACTTGTTAATTGTATACCAATGGTAATATGATATTCTAATTAAATAATACTTTTTAGAGATAGACGTTTGGAGGACTGATCTTATATGTATTTGAGGATCAGGCTCCTCCCTCATCCTTGGTTTCTATAGCGACAGCGAGTTAAAGGTAAAGTCTGCAAGGTTATATAACGTCCGGCCAACAAAAAAACACAATACTGAACAAACATCAGACTTCCTGCTATTCTTATAGTCTGCAGCAATGATCCTATCCTCCTCCTCCTCCTCCTCCTCCTCCCCTCCTCCTCCTCATCTTGTCAGACTCCTTCCCTCCCTATCTTTTCATCCTCTCCTCCTTCCCTCCTTCCTTTTCTTATCTTCTGCTCTGCGTGCCCTCCTCCCTGTCTCCACTTTCTTGTTCTTGATCTCGTCCTCCCTGTCTCTCCCCCACCCTCCTTTCGTCTCCACCTCCACTCCTTATCTCCTCTTCCCGTTCTCCTCTCCTTATCTATTCCTCCTCTCATGTCTTCTCATGTCATACTCTCTTCAAGCCCCTCCTTTTTTGCTTCTTTCTAATCCACTCCTTTTATCTTTTTCATTCCCTCCTTCCACTAGTCTCCCTTCTTCTTCTTCCATTGCATCCCCTCCATGTCTCCTATCAACTGTTCTTCTCCCATCCTCTCCATTCCTCTCCTTGTCTCCTAATTTCTCTTTTTCATCTATTTTCTTCCTTTCCTTGTCTCTTCCTCTTCTGCCTCCTCCTTTCTCTCTCCTTCCTCCTCTTCCTCTTTTTCTTCCTTGCCCTCCTCCACCCCCCCCCTCCCACACACACTCTGTCCTCCATGACCTCTCTTCAGGTGTGTGTGTTTTCTTCCTGTTGTTTTTGTCGTCATGGCAGCTACAGGAAGTCTCCTCCATTCAGTCATGAAGGTCATACTGTAAGCCTTACTCTGATATAAGTTTCACTACTAATGTGATAGTGAAATTAACTTGAACATGAAAACTGCTTTCTTGTCTTGTCTTTGGGATGCCTTAGTTTGATCTTGTGACGTCAAGTACATTTACTTCAATCCTCCTTCACTTAAACCAATAAAACTCTTTATTTTTTCTTACCAGAAGGCAAATATATGAAGTATATTTCCTTTGGATTCTTGAGTAAGTCCTATTGCTAATTGCTATGCTAACTGAGCAATCTGTAACCAAAGCCATGAAAGCTAAATGCTGCATTCAGCTGCAGGTTTGTTGTTAACTCTCTTAATCGTTCAAGTTATATTTAGGTCATCTGATGCAGTTGTGAACATTAAATATAGCTGTAAAAGAAAATAACACAGACAGTGTGATTTGTATTGATCAAACTTCTTGAAATGGAAGACTTGCTCTCGATCTAACATAACGTCTGCTGTGTTTGTGTTGCAGAAGAAGAGGAAGCAGGCCAGCAGAGATGCAGACTCCCTCAGTCTCTGCAGTCTGGACATCAATGTGAGTTCAGCTTCTCTAAACTAACTTTCTGTTTTGGCTCAGCCTTGGTCTAAAAAGGTTTCATATCAAAGCTCTCAACAAATGGTGAAACGTGGCACATAGTGTTGGTGTCCTTAAGAGATGTTCATTTTTGGAATTGTAACGAAATATGTTATATTTGGATAAATGAATTAAAATGCAGGTACATTATATAAAACAGTATATTCCATCAACTTATTCATGCGAAGTATTGTTTTTGAGAAAGAGCAAAAAAAACGTTATAGGAAATAACTGTGATTTAGTTAAAAAAAATGTATTCTCTTTATTGAGTTGACCAAGTTATGTACAATTGTATCAAGTACATACAAAAACACACAGGAAAAGTATTCTCAATATGTTACAAAGAATATGTATATCCTACTCAAATACGTATAGCCTGTGGAGAAGAAAAGAAGAGAAAGCACTCAATATGTTGAAATCACATGACATTTAATACATGCAATATTAGTGGATTTGTATTCCAATGACCAGTGAAAATGAGTAAACGGACGGTGTCCATATTTTCTTCCAAATGTAATTCTTTCAACTACCTTACACAAACAGCTGTTTTTTTATCTTTCTAAATAGGGGCTAATAGTGAGCTGTGTAGAAATGTGTAGATCATGCAGTAACTTTGTGCTTTCTTATCTCCATCTCTGACCCGTGGGTTATTGTATAGTGGACCCTCGGAGGGCCTCAAACCAGTGTTGGGCCCCTCCTTCTAAAGTTGTCCGTATTTTTAGCCCTCTGCCAACAGCCGTCTCTTTCTGGGTGTTCCCCTCCCTGCTTAGTCCAACACAGGATGTCCCCCCTGTTCGATGTACACCTCAGAATGACAAACACCATCAGTCTTAATCTGTTCCAAGCCAACAGTAAGAACCTTGAACAATTTACACTCTATTGTTTCTCTACCGTTACTCCCAGTGAGTCACACACAGTCATATTGTGCTCTTACTGAAACTGCACGAGCTGGAGACATGGATCCAAAAATATGTACGTATTTGTACAAATAATTTCACATTCATTTATACATCAATAAATCCTGTTAAGCCCCAAAGCCCCCCTCGGCGGGTTTTTAAAAAAAAAATTAACGACACTGTCTCAGGACATCTTCATATTTAAGAACCTATAAATGTGTTATACCAGATTAACGGGAATAATCTCAAGAAGCATCTGAATGACCCCTGAGCGAAAATGCTAACGCACTTTGGCACAGCACTCAAGATAAAAGTTACCCTTATTACTTATCGTAGCTGCACATACAATATATCGGATTAAAGCTGAGGTTCCACAGATTATTTAGGATAGGGCGTTAATAACGCGTTAACGCAAAAAAAATTAACGCCACTAATTATTTTAACGCGATTAACGCATAGGTGTATTTTTTTTCCTCGGCCGCCCCGTAGTTTCAGAGCGCATCGAGTTTAAAATACCATCTACAAGCTGATGCTGACAGCCCTGCTCCTGCTGCCCGCTTGCAGTTGACCACACTTCCACGCTCACCGGCAGGCACCGACTGGCTATTGGGAGGACCGGGAGGGTGTGTGTATGTGTGGCCCGAGCGAGCGAGAGAGAGACCTTATGTGTATTGTTGTTGTTAGCATCTGGTGCTAGCTAGCTGCGCTAACGGATATAAGGAGCTGTTTAAATGAAAACAGAGGAGCGACATTTCGCCACAACTGTGCCGAGCACTTGACTTTATGCAGGAAGCCAGACAGTGGGACATTGTACGAGAAGTCAGCACACTCAGCACGGATAGTGCGCGCAACATGATTGCAGCGTCCAGGAAGCTCCCGTTCGAGCATATGCCTTGAGTTGCACATAGCTTCAACGATCCATCACACACACACACACACACACACACACACACACACACACACACACACACACACACACACGCACACACACACACACCATTTGTATTGTATTATTGAATGAGAGAGGTTCCAGGTTGAATTGAGGCGAATATTTGTAATGTTCAGAAGTTGTTGTGTTTAATATTCATGAGGATATTTGTCATTGTTCAAATGATAATAAACATTAGCATAAAGCATATTTGTCCACTCATATGTTGATAAGAGTATTCAAAACTTGAAAAAGATCACTGAGTGATCCGAACTCGCGACAGGGGAAGCAAACACAGACATCACAACACGTACCTTTACGTAGCTTTTACGCGAGATCGTCTCACCGTAACTGTCAATCTGATCAAAAGACTTGTTCAATGGCATTAAAACGAGAAAAAACGCGGCTGAATCGGTTAATCCATAGGTTGATAATGTTTCTGTGCAATATTTTTTTTAAATTTATAATCCATAATTCAATTTTTATGTAAAAATCGGAGAGTAAAAGTTAGCTGCTAATGGTAGCCACCAGAGTTATCGCAGCTTCCGGTTTTGGCTATGCGTCAGTCTCACACACACACATTACCAAATAAGGAGTATGTGGGAGTTCCCCTCGATTCCATTGGCTCTGACGGTCAGAAAGAGATGTCAATCAGCAAAATCGAGCAAGGGGGGCCAGAGATAGGTCAAATCCACCCAAATGATCCCAGAAGTGTTTTTTTTGTTGCTAAACCTCTCTAAAAAGGTCAAATTTCACTTGTTTTGCATCAATCTTGATACAGGGTAATTATTATAAGTTTGGATTCCTAAAGCTTTTAGTCTACTATCCCATCATTCAAGGGTAGTTTTCACTATAAGTGATTTTTATTTTGGACGGACACAATCATTTACATTTTTTTACTGTGTTCAATCTGAATTTACTTTAAAATAAAAACATCTATATTGATTCTGACACTTCTACATCCAACTCACAGGTGTAACCTTGCTTTGAGAAAAAAGATTATTAATTTAACCCTTTTAGAAGTGAAGATATGGTCATTTGTTCTGGGAATGTCATTTTCGAGCCTGAGACCTGAAAAACAGGCTCAGGGCTTAACAGGCTTTAGAGGACACAACTCAACTTTTTCAAATGAGTTCACTTCTTAAAGACACACATGTACTCTTTTCAGTATTCATAATTTTTTCCAGAGAAGCACTATCTTTCTGGAAATACTTGGCGCTAATTCCTCTAACAGATATTTTGAATTTAAATAGTTGTGTATAATTTAAACTCCTCAAAAATATTCATCCATATTAATGAATGTATCTACTTTTATGATGTCTATTAATATTCTGTTTTATCTACATTGTCAAATATGTAGATTAAACTCAATGTTTATAATTCAGGTTAATTTTCACATTTCAGTCAATATCAACAAAATCAAAACATTATGTCAGACCGTTTTATACTGGAAATATTGTACTTTTGACTTTGCTACATAATAACTTGGTTAGTCTCAAAGTTAAGATACCTGCCTACTAAAAAAACAATATGATGTTTTGTTATACATTTCAGCAGTTTAAAGAAATACAAATAAAATGATGAATCCTTGAGTTGATAGTCAGAAAGTATATTCATACACATGCCAGATGAACACTTATCGATTGTGTTTCGTAAACTAAGGGGAATGAACTGTTGGGACCAATACAGTCTCCAGAATAAAACCAGATGATCTCATTTTATTGGAGAGTCTCAAGGCAATGTTATATAGTGTTTTCAGGAAGAGGATTTCACCCTTTTGAAAAAAGTAATACTTGTTTTTAAATGTCAAGTGGTCATAGTACATAATATACTTAACACATTTGAAGAAAAAACTATAAATGATCCCATAATTACAAGATATCCATTCATATAACATATTAACATAATTAAAGGTAGGGTGAGCATGTAATTTATTTCAGAAACACTTTTTGTTATATTCCATTGAATGCTCTTAACATCCCGATAGCAATGAATATCTTAAATGCTTTGACAATAAATACATTAAAAAAAATGTCATCTGTGGAAGCCGTAGTACTGTAAAAAGCACGACCAATCATTTTAGCCGGCCCGACTAAAATAACTGGATGGCCTACCTGCCTGTCAGCCTTCCATCTGTGCACAAACTTATCTCGTGCCCTCATTGGTCATGTGCGCGTTCGTGTGTGTTGGAGGAGGGGCTCTGTAAGGAAGTGGCAGATTTTTTCCGGCTGTGTATTTTCAAATTCTAGCGCACTCAAGCTGGTTTCTCCAAAATTACCTACCCTACCTTTAAATGATAACTCCCAATTGTGACACAAAAGTTAATAATGAACAAAAACGTTTATAAATGCTTCTTTAGTAGATTCAACCTTTACAAGTATAGGGAAATCAAAACCTGTCAGGAAAAAGTTTACTGAGGTGATAAATCAAGTGAGAAGTCCAGTCATTTTCTCATAGCCTTCTATACAACCAGACTCCTTTTTGCCATCAATGAAGTCGCCCTCTGCTGGAAATGAGAGAGAATGTATGTTAATGGCACTTCTGCATTGGTCAAATTGCAGCTTGTAAAATACTTGTTATGTGAGGAGTGTCTTTAAGTTTAAAGAAAATCTTGATATTGTGATCGGATTATTACACAACTGGTCATATCAAAGAGTTATTTTTCATCTAAATAAGTCTTGTTAAAATACTCATGTACAACCGATGTGTCACAGTTTAGATGAAACTAGGCGGGTTTGTCTGAGTCAGTTGTGACGATTGAATCTGCTGTAGGATCAGTTTATGACTCCTGTTCCTTTCTGGGGCGTCCAAGACCAAACTGTCGTATTCCCAGACAATGGAGAGCTGCGTCAGAAGGGCACTTTTGTTAGCTGAACATGAGGTGGGTTTCACGTCAGGTCAGAGGTCAGTGATCGCAGTCACAGCTTTCAAAGGAAACCATGAAAACATTTCTATAGAACATACACAAAGATCAATGTGGTTCATGACCTACAGCTGATCCAGGATGTGTTTATACGTCTCTATTTTGGATAAAGCTATATGTCTGCTTACTGTATGTATGCACACTTATCTCGTGTTAGTCACATGACAATTATTCCTTTGAAACAACATCTATTGTTAACCATCATTTTGTCTTTCAAATGTCAGAAAATAGAGGACAAATTCCCAATACCATTGTTCAGGTTGAGGTCCTCATAATGTCTTGTGTTTTCCGACCAAGAGTCCAAAACGCCAATATATTCAGTATTCCTCCGTTTGAGAAGCTAGAATAACGACATTTTTATTTTTTTCATTCCAAAAAGCCTGGTCTGAATCAAACCAAAGATAATCAGATCTGTGTCAGCCATATAACCACTACACATAAAAACCTTTTCCAATGTAGGCCGGCTCTCTTTTAACCAAACCTGAACCAACAACCACATCTTATTTCTCAAAAGTGAAACAGATGTGTGTGTAAACAATATATACACCAACACGGACAGTCATTGATTTGAGAACTGCTGTAAAACGAGGGCAGAGCTTTAGCTGCCTGCAGGCGTCTTTCTCTCTTTAGTCATTACAATTCAGATTGACATTGACTGAGGCCTAGTTGCACTGAGTTGAATGTTGGATATAGAACCTTTACAGGTTTATCTGGCACTCCGGAGATTAACAATGCAGCATCATTTTGCAATAAAAATGTTTTTTGCTCTGATGGTTTTTTTTTTATTGTCAACAAACCTCCCAAATCGATGTGTTGGTTTGTCTCTTAATTCTCTACCACATCGTGTGTGGTTCTCAGCTCCAAGCCCATTTGTTAAATATTTCAAAACTGAAAAACACCAAATGTATTTCTAGATAAACTATCAGTTATATCTTAAAACAGCAGGTCACTGTTATTTTAAGCAAATATTAATCAGACAGAAGGAAATACTGCATTATTTTCAGCAGCGGAATAATCCACATTTGGTGATCTAATGATTATTTAGGGCAGCAGTGGGACAGTGTATGTGGGATTGAGTCCAAATAAACAAGAGTGTGTGACTTCATGGTGATGAATGAACATGTCAGTCAGTGCTACAGTGTGGCTCATTGGTGTGTTGTTAATAGTGTTTATAAGGGACAATGGAGCACTATGGCACAGAGGAAGAAGATATATCAGGCTTTGTTACAAAGACAATACTTGTTGAGGTCTTTTTATGGGATTTGCTGACATGAAGACACATTGTACAATGTCTTAATTGTATCTGTATTGTTTGTAAGTAAAGGCTGAATGTTTAAATGGAAAAAGTAGAAGCTATTGCAAATGATGGAAAGGAAGGAAGTAAGAAAAGTGAGTGGGTGAGGGCGCCAGTGAGTCAGACAGGGTGAGAGCATTGATTTGCAAAGAGACAGAGAGTCAGAGTGAACAACCATCATAGAGAGAACGCTTTAACAGCTGAAGAGAAGTCCAACAGAAACATGGGATAAGAGCTCCAGGTGGTCCACAAGATACCTTTAGTAGAATCCTTCTCAACACTGCTGGTACCGAGCTGGATCCAGACTCTCTGCTACCGTCAGTCCTCTGGATACTACCAGGAACATGCTCGTACAGAACTTGTGCTGGAAACTATACTGTTACTCATTTGTTTCTGCGCTCTCTGCTGCTGTCAGCTACTTTTTTGGATAGCTCATACTTGAAACGTTGCAGGTACCTCATTTTTGGACACTGTAAAGTACCACTACCAGACACTTTCTATACTCTAATTCTTTACCACTATCTCTTGTACCAACAAGAACTAAATTGGGTCATTTAGGTACAAATCCTTTGAATGGTCTAATAGTTATTTCCTGGCTCTTAGCCATTTTCAGATATGTAGCTGCCACATAATCTCTTCAGACACTGGATACTCTTCTGTCTACACACTTGGACTAATTATGGTATAACTCGGACTCCTATCCAGCCTTAAACCTCTTCTGGACATCCACACCTGGATGTTCTGACAGCACTGATCTCTTCCTGGACACTGTTTGAAAATATATCTGGACTCTCTCTCTTGCTACTGGGAAATCAGATCCTGTGCTGGTCTTTGTGGTGAGCATTATGGTGTTGGGGCAGGGTCCCCTCTGCCTGCTGGTACACCGGTTTAAATCTGGATACCCTGTGGAGTTTGGCAAAGGGAAAAGGGACATGGGGAAACAGGTGGAGGTAAGATGCAGGAAATATCCTATAAAACAACAGCATGTTTACAATCAAATATTGCTTGTGAATGAATCTAAATCTCAGAACTATCTGAATTATGTAGCTATACTTGTGTTTTTAAACAATTCATATCATCTCAAGTATATGTAGTTCTATTTAGGTTGTACTCAATAAAAGTTATGCTATACTATCATTAGATTAAACTATAGTTTTTGGAGTCACCCGATTTTACAAAATGTTTAACTTTTTGGCTTTTGTGGTTCCCGCTATTTTCTTAAAAATAAATATGTATTGCTTTTGCACTTAAGGGTAATTATACTGTACTGTAATGATGAGTTATTCTCAGAGATGATGGACAATGTTTTTTTTAAATGTCCGCCATATTTCTGCACTGTTTACCATTGTTTTTTGTTGCTGATGTTTACATTCCTTATGATAAATATATCTCTAAATGCTCTATTGCACTACTCTTTTTGTGAAGCGTAAATGGACTAGGCTATAAATTCATTTTGTTGTGAAACACTGTGTTGTATAATGACACTAAATGATCCTTAAAACCTTGAGAGATTCACAACCTCCTCTCAATCTCAGTAGAGTCCAGTCCACCTAAAGAGTAACAGCCTAAATGACTTTTAGGCATTTGTGAACCATCCCTTGATGTGATATTGTAGTTTTTAAAACAAGACTCTGGTATCCTGCTTTGCTCAGACCTTATACATTGATTCAACCAAAAACTATTATTTTTCTTCTAGATTGAGTATTCAAAACATAGATGTTTAGTAGGAAGTCCTGTAGGACATACATTTTATTATTGGACTCTGTCGACACAAACAAATCAAACTCTTGCCCCTGAGAGTCGGCTGTGAGGACCAGTCTATTGTTGAATTGATCTTTGTCAGATTGAATCAACTGAAGCGCAATCACACACAAATCCCATGACACAACATGTCCAATGGAAAGTAAATACACTGATCATTTTTTATTTACACTGAACCCCAAAACCTTTTCAAAACAACAACTTCATTAAAACAAAAGTATGTGCTGAAAAATTGGAGAAAATACACTGACTTTTATTAAGTATTTTAACTGATGTTAACATTTTACATTCTACCAACAGCAACTTTAAAGTGTATCAAGTCACAGCTTTCCATTTTCAGTCACTTCTTTATTGGATGTATTGGTATATGTAATGGATGAGAAAAATATACATATAATATACATCAATACTTTCTGTGACTTTAAGTGATTGGAGAGGGAAAAAAACAAAACAAATCGAAGGTAGATTTATTTCTGGTTGACTAGTTTCTGTGGTTATGGAAAAATTGAAAAACATTTAGAAGGTGTTTGAGAAGCTCAGCTGGCTGTGAAACATAGAAACACACACACACACACACACACACACACACACACACACACATATTGATGAAGTCTGTATCCAGGACAAACAGCCTGGTGGCGTTTTCACACATAGACTGACCCTGATAATATGAATGTGTGCGTGTGCTTGTGTGCACACTATGTGTGTGTAGTGTACATGTGTGTTAGTGTGATAAATTCAGAGGGAAATACTTAGTCACACTAAGTTGTTTAACTTACGCTATACTCACAATAACAAGTAAACACATCACAAAATCAATGTTTAAAACTCCAGACTGATTGTTCAAAATCAGGAGACAAGTTTTAAAATGTGTCTTTTGATCGATCAATCTATCGAAAGCAAAACTTTGCTGCAAATATCAGTTTTATATGTTGTAATTTGACAAAGTTTGACTTCTCTCTCCTCCAGGAGCCCAGCACAAAGCGCAGCAAACTCGTATCCAGGATGACGTCTCTGCTGCAACCTGTCAAGACGGCACCGCTGAAGAGGATTGGTCAGACGCTGCAGGTGAACAGCCAATCAGATGTCTCCACCAGTTTTTTGTCAATACATTTGTGAAAATCTTCCCTGGTTCTGAAAGTGTTTTATCTAATGAATATTCCAATTATTTAATTTAGTTTTTATAGTTTTCTCCGTGTGGGGGCAACTGAAAATCGAAAAAAGAAGATTTTTCAGAATAACATAATTCGAAAATTAATGTAATGAACTGTATGTTGAAAATGATTTTCACTTTGTTTCCCTAATCAGTTCCAGCTCTAAATACTACAATACCCATAGTTCTTAGCTGCTATTGCTTAAGATATTCTAAGTGCCTTAGAATTAACAGTAGTTGCTCACTTTATCCAAGTTATTCAAGATGAAAATGGTCAAATATAGAAAATAAATTAGTAATTCCTTATTTCTGATACATGTTTATTAGCACTTCCCACTAGAAAAACTTTATTTGAAATGTGATAAGACAATTTGTAGTCCATCAGTAAACATCTGAAATAAATAAGGATAATATTCTATAGACAGTGCTGTACTTTATAATGTATTCAAATGTAATATTTCCTTATTTAACCGTCTGTCTCTGCAGCGCTCCATCAGTTTTCGTAATGAGGGTCAGACAGAGAGAGCAGCTCCTCCTCCACCTCCCCCCCTCCTCTTCCTCCATGATGAAGACGCGTGTTCTCTCAGCAACACTCTCAAACCCGGGCTCATCGAGCACAATGACACGGGTTTCCACAGCAACGGTGCCAGCCGCCAAGCGCCGTGACAGCAAACTCTGGTGCGAGACCTTCGACGTGCGACTAGGAACGATGCAGACTCTGAGCCCGAAAGAGATCAAACGACAAGAGGTGAGAGAAACACTGCTGGTGGACTTAAAGGGGCATTTGAGCTTTTTAGGGTTTTCCTCTCCTGCAGTGTGAAAGGGCAGGTAAACCCTCTCTGCTGCCCGAAACGCTCCATTGGACTCCTTTCTTTACGTCCTGACATTACTATGTAACACTCGCACTCGCATTGGCAACAACTCATTGTTTGTGATTATGATGTGGTTAAGGGGCGAGACATCTCTAGGCACTTGACCAATCACAACAAAGCAAGCCAGCTAACCAATCACAACAGACTGGGCTTTCAGACAGAGGGTGAAAAGAGGTGCTGCAGCACAGGCAGTATGAGAAAAATACAGAGCTTTTTGAACATTAAAGCATGGAGACATGTCACAGTAGAGGCACTAAATATAAATATGATCCTAAAAATGAACATAACATGTCCTCTTTAATGCAAAATATAAATCCGCTAATAAATTATGAAATACTATTCGAATATGGCTATGCACAATTTTGAAATGATGTTAACAGTAATTTAGTTGTATAATACACGCATGACTTTTACTTATAAGAGAGTATTTCTAAACTGGTATTACTGAAGATCTTAGTGCTTTTTCGAACTCTGCTCATTTATCTATTTACAATATAAACATCATAAATTAAAAACATTCTACTGCTTTCATTTTCTTTATCTCTCTCTCTTTCTCTGTTCCTGCAGGCTATATTCGAGTTGGCTCAGGGTGAGCAAGACTTGGTGGAGGATCTCAAGTTGGCTAAGAAGGTAACAAAAATAACTTCTTCTTGAAGAAGTAACTTTGATTGTTCAGTAAGAGTATTTTACTTAGCATGCTCATATGTATGTATGTGTTCTCCAGGCTTACCATGACCCCATGCTGAAGCTGTCAATCATGACTGAGCAGGAACTGAACCACATCTTTGGCACTCTGGATTCTCTGATACCCCTCCATGAAGGTAGGAAGGATCATGTTTGAAATAAGCTACATGACTAACATAAGATTATTGTAAAATACAATCTATGTTTGAGTGATACAAAGTTACAACAGATAACTGAAGCCCCCAATGTTGTGTAATGTCTGAAAAGGGCTTAAAGCGGCACTTCAGAGGGGGACAGTGTGATTCCTGCAACGTCTCTCTGCATACACAGTATAAGGTTCACACTGCAGAAGAGGTTCAGCCAAGGACACATTCTGAACTTTAACCAGGGAGCCTGTAAGGAAAAGGAGCATTATTCCATTGGATTGGGTGTTAGCATGTTTGGCTGAATGTTCTGACAGGCTGAAGATTGAGTCATACTTCAACTTTTATTCTGGCAAATTTCTGTATGACTGCATATTTAAAAACTTTGGCTTGTTTTATTTTAAAAAAAAAAAGAAACTTCCGTGTAAAAAAGCATTTCAACTCAGCTTTTTTTGTTTATTTAGAATTATTATTACTACTTTTTTCTTTTTTTCTGTATCAAGATATTTTTTATTCTGCCTGATTCTAATTGTATTTATATATTTCCTTTCTGCCTGTTACTTAAATCTTCCAACAATTCTGCACTGCACTAAGGAAGTAGGACAATGAGTCTTGAGGTTAATGTAATAGTTAAATGTATGTGAAATATGACCACTCAATTAAAAAGATATTTGAGAGAAACTTTTTGTTTAAGCTGTATTTCACAAAATATTATAAAAACCTTTAGAATGAATAATTTCAGGATCAGTATTTTTGAAAGCTTCAACTATTTTAGCCTTTATAGTGACATGGATTGAGTTTGTATATTAATGTCAGGCTCCTACAGAACAACTGTCTCAGTATTTCTCAATGACATTGTCTCATGTTTGATGTTCCCGTGCTGTTTTCAAATAAGAGTTTCAGAATTTGACAACATCTTTGTCTCCTCAGACCTGCTGAGTCGACTCAGAAATGCCAGAAAACCTGACGGGTCAACAGAACATGTGGGACGCATCCTGACTGACTGGGTGAGTGAGTGTTTCTCTTTACAAAAAACAACATACTGAAAATACTCAGTTATCATGTAACATGCAGTGTGTGGTAATCAGGTGTGTGTGTGTGTGTGTGTGTGTGTGTGTGTGTGTGTGTGTTCCTGCAGCTGCCGTGTCTCTCCTCCTACACATCGTACTGCAGTAACCAGGTGAAGGCCAAGACCTTGTTGGACCAGAAGAAGCAGGACCGGCGGGTCCAGGACTTCTTGCAGCGCTGTCTCCAGTCGCCTTTTAGCAGGAAGTTGGACCTGTGGAACTTCCTGGACATCCCCCGCAGTCGACTGGTGAAATACCCGCTGCTGCTCAGGGAGATCGTGAAGCACACGGCCAACGACCACCCGGACCGGCAGCACCTGGACGAGGCGGTGAGGAAAACAAGCGATTCCATTATTTTCATGTTTGTCTTGCAGGTCGGGATCACCTCACCATCTGACTGAGGGAGTGGGAAAACATTTGCGTTTTAATTTCTTAAAACATGTAAATTATGCAAATATAACCCAGAAAATTCAGACACAGCTTTAAATAGTTCAACCGAGCTTGGTATTAACCCTGAAATACCAGCAGTAACCTCGAAAAGTGTGGGATACACTTGGAAACTAGAGAATGCAATTCCTGAAGAAATTGCTAGTGGGAATGCTTTATGCTGAAAAGCTGATGCTAAACTGCTATGCTGAAATGTAATGTGTAAGAAGAAAGTGAATAATTGAGATTGAAATGATACATGAACACTGGGGGCTTGAATGTGTGATGAGAGAAGACAAGAAAGTAAAAAGGCTTGGAAAAGCAGCAGAATATTTGAACTGCAAACTTCTGAACTAACTTGATGGCGAATGATCTGTCGCCATGGCAACGGCATTTGCTGACACCCCATAATACACTTGGATGCGTTGATGCTTAGATCGTTACCAAACCTGTGCAGTTTTGGGGCGTTTGGAGCAGTTTCACTGAAGTTATGAGAAAGCCGTGTTTCATGGCGAGCATTGTGTTTCCATGGCAACGGCATTTGAAGAAATCTCAAAACTGTCCCGTGGATGTCTTCACGGCTGGACTGTTAGCACAAATGTGAAGTTTGAGCACTTTTTGAACATTTTCATAGGAGTTATAGCGACATCATGTTTTATGGCGAGGGATGCGTTTCCATGGAAACGGCATATGGTGAGATCTCAGATTTGGCGTAGAGCTGTTGAGGCATGGACCGGTGATATACAAGTGAAGATTGGGGGACGATTGGACCGTGTCGATTGGACTTACAGCCACATCGTGTTTCATGGCGAGTGGTCTGTCGCCATGGCAACGACATATGATGACACCCCATACTACGCTTAGATGCGTTGATGGCTGCATCGTTTCCAAACCTGTGAAGTTCTGGGCTGTTGGGAGTATTTTCACTGAAGTTATGAGAAAACCGTGTTTCAAGGCGAGCATTGTGTTGCCATGGCAACGGCATTTGAAGAAATCTCAAAAGTGTCCCGTAGATGTCTTCACGGCTGGACTGTTAGCACACTGCTATCTGAAGTCTGCTGCTCTGAGCATGTCAGTTGGAGTGATGACATCATCGTGTTCCATGACACAGCACTTTGAGTCGTGGATGGCCATTTACTCTGCTGGTTGAATTGTAAGTACCAAAAATGAACAAATGCAGAGGCGGCGGGTACTGTAGGCTATATTTTTGTCCCTGCATCCTGATTAAAATATTATGTATAATGTTTGTGTCTTTGACATTAGCACTGCTATACAGCCAACTGATGGTGTGCAAGCGCCTGCACAGCCTGTTTGTGTCAAGCGGCTTGTGATCGTGATGTGATTGGCCACAGAGGGGCTGGCCAATGACATCACGATCCGACAGCAAAGTCTCAAAAATTGAAAATGTTCAAGGAAAACATTAAAGCAACCAGTAATCCCGATGCCACGACGGACACCCGCCAAGATAAGGGTAACAACTAGTAAGGCAGGCCAGGAGCTTTTTTTTGTTTAGCATGGACTCCACCGGCTGCTGAAGATGACGTCAATGACGCTATCGCGTAGAGCTACGTCGATGCTTGCATAATGCGGAAGTAGGCGTGGTTAAATCTAAATTGGGTTGGAAAAACGAAAGACGCCGGAGCATGGATGTATAATAAGAACTGGATACAGCGTCGGAGACGGGGTCTCGTTATTTCCTATGAGAGCTGCTCATTGGCACATGAGGACAAAATGGCCCAACTTTTGAGAGCGAAGCGTCACAGATTACCCATCATGCCTGGCTGTCAGAGCAGAAGAACCCGTATGTGCAGTCACAGAGCATGCGCCCCTTAAGCCCCGCCCCCCAAGCTCCCACTCTCGGCTCACTAGAATGAATGGAGAGAGAAAATAAATCTAGATTCGGCTTTTAGTGCATTTTACAACTTTAAGAACCGAATGATTCTAGTAAGGGCTATAAAATAGTTCATACTGGGTAATTTATTTAGTTTAAAAAAATGATCCGCTGATTTACAGACGTCTTTTTCCCCATGTTACTCAATGGGAAAAAGTCTTTCTGGGCCCAGTGACGTCACGGACGGATACGGAAATTGTAGTGCCGCCGTTTGGACACAACACATGTTTTCCTCTGAGTCCGGAGCACTTCCTGGGGACTCGTCAGGTAAAAAAAGTTGTTTAGCCTTCCCAAACCTGAGCCTCACACTATGAACAAATGTGTAAGAAAATGTCAAATTTGGACAAGGGTCGACTAAAAAACAGAACCAATTAAGTAATCTAGAACTACCAGGGTGCCTTTCACTGATTGAACAAACAATCCCATCTTAAAGTGCGGTTATGTGTACAGTTCATGGTGACAAAAGTTGCAAACACCCTTTGAAAGTCAGAACAAATTGGTGTTTAACCCTACACATTTGTGATATTTTTTTTAAAGTAGGGGTAACACTTTATGTTAAAAAAACGAACAAAATCAGATAATTATGGGTGAAAAATCAGTTATATAAATAAATGTTGTTTACAACGTTTTTTTATCATTCATTCATTTAGTTATTTCTCTACACCAGCCTGCTCTCTGCAAAATTCACATTGTTTGCATGTATCTTAGTTAGTTACTTCTCTTTGAAATATAGAGCAGGTGATGGGTGCAGAAGGAATCATTCAGTCATGGCAGGGGATGGACCACAGATGCATAAAAGGATGAGAAACAGACCAGTGGATTTAAAATGTGTCTGATGTTATCTGTTTGCTCTGCAGATGCTGATGGTTCAGAGCGTGGTGGGGGACATCAACAGGCTGACGGGGGAGTCAGAGTGTCAGTACTACAAGGACCGCCTGTTGTACACAGAGGAGGCGCAGAGGGACGAGCTCATCGACCGCTCCAGGACCCTCAGCTGCCACGGAGAGCTGAAGAACAACAGGGGACTCGTCAGTGCATTTCTACTATTTTATACTTATTAACTACCGCTTCCTTTAACACTATACATTTTATACTCTCTCTCAATATAAAAACTACAGTCGAGGGAGGTGAAAAATATTTCAAGAAAATAAAAAAGTGAACATTTTGAAAATAGACAGGACTCAAAAAAAGAAATACAGAAATAGGGGAGGGGAATAATATACATTAGTAAAACATATGTACACTGTGTATAAGCTTTTTCCCTGGTCAGATCATTATATATTATAAAAATAATATGTAAAAAATATGTAAAATATATAACAATATCTTTTTAAAGTACCTGACTATTATTTTCAATCTTTATCTTTACCATGCGAAAAGTCATCAGTGATTTGATTATTTTTTACAAGTTTTATGACTAGACCATGTTCCAAATATTGTATCTGGGATGTATATAAATAAAACACATCTGTTTCTCTCTCTGTTTCCAGAAGCTCCACGTGTTTCTGTTCCAGGACGTCCTCGTCATCACCAGGTCCATCTCGCTGAACGATTATCCGGTCAGTTACCAGCTGTGCCGCCAGCCAATACCCATCCGGCAGCTGGACCTGGAGGACCTATCAGACGGAGAGATGCGAGTGGGCGGGTCCATCAGAGGAGCCTTCAGCAACAACGAGAGAAGTGAGAATTTCGCAAATACAGCGGATATTAAAACTCCAAGATTTTATTTTGTCAGGATCTGTTTCCATGCATTCACTTGTTTTGTTCCATACTATAATACAGTACTGTATAAGTAGGTACACTGTATGGCTCAAATACATGTAATGTAGTTCTGGTCTGAGGCAAGCCTAAAGCCTCATTCCCACTGGACAACAAAACACATACTAACCTGATAACAATCGGCTTGATCTACAGTGGAAAAGGTTAGATACGGCATTCATTTCTGGGTAAAAAGACTGCAATGGAAACATAACACTCAGGTGGACATGCTAATTTGTGAACCTTTTACAACATGATGCTATGAGGTTATAACTAATAGAATTCAAAGGAAATTGGACAGTTATTATTATTTAAACACACAAAACAAAAATGTATTATGTTCTCAAGCCACCAGACTCGTTGATCATTACAAAAACACACATTTAAAAAAACTTCTTTGTGGTTTTAAATGTTTTGCAATTAAAGTAAGGACATTTGGTCAGTGTTACATCATCTGATTATGTATGTAGAGGTTTGAAACAAATTCATGCAATATGTTTGATGTCATTTAAAACTGGACAGTACTAACACGTTATTTTTACAAAATGTTCTGGTTTAAATGCTCATTAAAAATTATGTTTATTCTTTGTGTAAATGTGCAAAAATGCCAATAAATCCCAATGTGTTTTTAACTTCTCACATATGGATATAGGTTATAGGTTAAAAATGTATCAGACTTCCATGCAATATACCGTATTTTCGGGACTATAAATCGCGCTTTTTTTAGCTGTCTGGCTGGTCCTGCGATTTATACTCCGATGCGATTTATATATTGTATTTTGTCTGACTGCGTTCAAACTACGGCCAATAGATGGCACTGTATACAATCATGACAACTGCAAACTGCTGTACCACCGAAGAAGAAAAAAGTCACGGCGACTGGGAGGATCAGGGGAGGATGCGTCATGTAACCTTCCAGGATGTTGTGGGATGAATCGACACAGCATGGGCTTCAGTGACGACCGAGGGATTCAGAAAGGTCTAATCGGAGCTGATTCTGATGGAGAGTCTGAGGACAGCCCGGAGCAGGACATGCTGCTTCATCCACACCGGAGTGGGCGGAAGTGTTTAACAGCGACACAGAGGATGAAGACTTCAGTGGATAAATGCGACTTATACACCGAAGCGACTTATATATGTTTTTTTTCTCTTAACGACACATTTTTTGATAAGAGCGAGTTACACGCAGGTGCGACTTATAGTCCGGAAAATACGGTACACATTCTAGTAATAAATCACGATCTAATTCTGCACAATTCAATACAAATGTTAAACCTATTCACACAAATGTATGACCCTAAAGCCTCTTACACACCAAAGAACAACAAAGAACATCGCCTCACGTCTCCTAGCACGTACGAACTGCGCATGCGTGAGTGGCAATAACTCTCCTTACCAGCAGGCGGCGGTAGTGTGTATTCGTCATTCAATAGAGGCAACAACCGGAAGACAGACTGCGTGATACACCGAGAGAAGAAGAACAGACTGCGTGATATAAACAAACAACAAATAGCGTGTGCGTTCCATTTTCACTCTACAACGAGAAGCTCATGGGGCTTTCCCGAACCTGTGTCGAGAGCTGGAGTTAAATTAAAACTCAGATTTGCCTTCTTAATAGTTTGTTTGGGTCCCTCACTTCCGTTTCGCTTCTCATGTACTGATTCGCTAAGCTGAACAGCCAATCAGAGTGATTTCTTTGGGAATCGGGAGGCCGAATCGGCAGCGGAAGGTGTTTGCACGGCCAAAAAGACACGACGGTGCAGTTCACACCAACACACGACGCTCATCGACGGCCCGACATCTATCGACATCTATCGACGCCGAAAATCGCCAGAGGTGGGAGAAGTTCAGATCTTGTACTTGAGTAAAAGTACCAGAGTGTAGGAATACTCGGTTACAATAAAAAGTCCTGCATTCAAAATGTTACTCAGGTAAAAGTGAACAAGTATTAGCATCAAAATATACTTAAAGTACCACCTGCAGAGGGATCTAGATTCGGGTGTTCTTTTCCCCATAGAGATCGCCTCGCTGCACATTATCCCTTGCATAAAGATAGATTGTGGGTCCCTTATAAGAAGTTATAACATGTTGTACACAGTGGAAATAAACATTCTGGTCACTAGTGGTGTAGTGGTCGTTGGACGCGGGGGATCGCCGTCCCCCCACTTATTTGGAGCCCCCACTTTTTTGAATAATTTTTTTTTTTAATAGTCTAATAAATAAAAAATCCTTGCCAGTGTTATCAGTTGCAAGTGTGTATTTGTTGTAATAATGACGAAAACATAGTACATTTCACAGTTTTTATAATAAAAACGTAGCTCAAGTATTTATGCAACTTGATTTGAAGCGTGTGTGTGTAGAGCAGAGGTGGGACCAAGTCATTGTTTTGCAAGTCCGAGTCAAGTCTCAAGTCTTTGCGCTCAAGTCCGAGTCAAGTCTCAAGTCATTGTTTTGCAAGTCCAAATCAAGTCTCAAGTCAGGATGGGCAAGTTCAAGTCAAGTCAAGTCCTAAACTTTGACAAAACGAGTCATAAACAAGTCATTATGTGTTTTTCACCAAATGTAATGACATCGATCAACAGAATAATACTTAATAATCAAATTGCTCTTTATTAGTCACATTAATAATTTAATAATCAATTTTCTCTCTGCTGGTAAAGTAACGTGTGTTTTTCTAATTTAAGAGGGATCAGTAAGGTAAGGCTACCGTGACGGTTTGATTCAGAAGGAGTTTAATGTATAAGATCCCTGATGTTGAGGTAACCAGAATGTTTATTTCCACTGTGTACAACTTCCCCATAGAGACGCGAGGCGTCTCTATGGGGAAGAGAACACCTGAATCTAGATCCCTCTGCAGGTGGTACTTTAAGTATATTTTGATGCTAATACTTTTGTACTTTTACTTGTAACATTTTGAATGCAGGACTTTTTATTGTACAGGGTTCCTGCAGGTTTCGCCAACTCAAATTTAAGACTTTTTAACACCTTTTTAAGACCACTTTGAATATAATTTAAGACCTATTTCACGGCAATAAAGTATGAAGGAAAATGTATATAAAGAAGAAATACATCCCATAATCACTTACAAAGTAAATGTATTCATGTTCAACATAAGAACAATGACTGAACACAACAGCGTAACAGTACAGAACTGTGTTAGACAAAAAGTGTGTATGTGTGTGTGCTTGAGTGTGTGTGTGTGTGTGTGTGTGTGTGTGTGTGTGTGTGTATGTGTGTGTGTGTGTGTGTGTGTGTGTGTTAGGGCTGTGCAATTAATCATATTTTAATCGCAATTACGATTTTGGCCTGCCACAATTACGAAAACAACATAATCGGAAAAAACGATTATTTTGCTTTGCTAGGTTGTGACAGTGTGACTACGGAGCCCCCTAGGGGACATGGAGAAGAAAAAAAAAATTATTTGAAAAAAAAAATAAAATAAATGTTTTGCGAGATCTCGCAAAACCCCTTTGCGAGATCTCGCAAAACCCCTTTGCGAGATCTCGCAAAACCCCGTTGCAGTTTGTAGACGGTCCCTAAGCACTCCTCTCCCTCCTCCAGCTGCGGATTGTGACAAATTCTTGATGTTTAGCTCGGATGACGGCGCGTATCGAACTGTTCTGATAAAAACGACTCTGTAGCTCGTTGTCTACCTTGCTATGATTGTAAAGTCATGTTGTTTGTATTTTTACAACGTTATGTTCATGAGTTATTGATCCGCGAAATTCGAATCTGTCAATAACTCAGCTCAGAGGAACGTGCATGTCCCCTCGCTCTGAGTGTTTTCTTGAGGTGTCTTCACTTATGTGAAACCCTTTATATATACAGTCTATGTGTGAAACCCGTGCCTATTGCCAAGCACTGATGTTATATCTTTATATTTAAGGCCAAGCTCAAAGTAAAATCGATGAACCACTCTATTGTTGTGGTTTCTGTGTTGCCGTAGCAGCCGAACTGACCAGGAAGTACTAAATGAAAAGTATTGCGAGATCTCGCAAAGGGGTTTTGCGAGATCTCGCAAAAGTATTGCGAGATCTCGCAAAGGTTTTGCGATATCTCGCAAAACATTTTTTTTTGTTTTCTGTTCAAATTATTTATTTTTTTCTTCTCCATGTCCTCTAGGGGGGAGGATGTATGTTGTACACTACAACATATTTGATCTAATGAATTTTTTTGTAATGTATCATTTATTTAATTAATTTTTGTATTGGTTTTTCAGTTGAATTATACGTTCAGGGTAATCAACAGTTAAAAAGATACTGTTCAAATTATTATTTGTTTTAAAGTTTAATAAATGGATGTTTTCAAAGTCAATGAATAATCATATTTAATAATCGTGATATTAATTATTGACCAACATAATCTTGATTATTGCCATAATCGAGCAGCCCTAGTGTGTGTGTGTGTGTGTGTGTGTGTGTGTGTGTGTGTGTGTGTGTGTGTCTCTGAGAGAGAGTGACAAGAGCGATATTCAGAGCTCTGCTGCCTTGGCTACACTATTTCATCGTTGCTGTTGTATGATTGGTGTTTAGCTACGGTATTTAGCGTCTACAGCACCTCCGCTTTTAGGGTTGACGTAGACCCAAACTTCGCCCGGAGGTCCCCCGGTGTTGTTGCGGGAGCTGCTGCATTAGCTGCTGCTGCACTAGCTAACGCTACATTAGCAAAACAAACACTAATTTCTTTTGCAAAAGGTGCAGCGGGCTTCAAACACGTTCCCTCCACTGGTTTCAACCAAGCACTAAATTAGATGTTTTCCAACCAAATACGGTTGAACTTACACTTCCCCATATTTATTTGTAAGTAGATTCGAAGATAGGCTACATCAGAGCCCTAGAGAGATAAGAGTTACGTCACTCTTTGATGTCGCCGCCAGCCGGTCACGTGGTTTATGTATGCCGGGATAGTTCAAAACGCACTTCTGTTGCAATGCTTCTCTATGGCAAAAACAGCACAAACATGGTCAAAATAGTCATAGATTAAACAAACGCTGTTATTTTTTAAAGATTGCTTTCATATTTACATGATGTGGTTACACTTTGTATGGATTGGCACTATTTATAAGTTTCGTTATTTAACGATATTTTGAGGGGAAAGTGTGGTAGCACAAGCAGGCTATGTTGCTGTCACTGCCAGGGCAGTCACGTCCGTAGTATAGTTGCGCTGCGCTGTCATGTTCTTCTATGGGACAGACAGACAGCAGCGATTGCGTTATTGAATGGTAAATATATATATAAAAAAACACACACCCAAGTACTTTTTCAGCTGTAATTGCATTATTGCATACTTTTTATTGACAGTTTTGCATTTGGAGAGGCAGGGTGACAACGGAAAGCTTGGTAGCCTATTACTTAGATACGTTTTACATTTTTGGAGGGAAACGTTTGTGTTCATGTTAGCATGGGTAGCATGATCATGTTAAGACTATGAATATCATTTTACCACAACAGTGGATGAATAATTGATATATGTGTTTGAACAAGAACAACAGGAAGAACAAAGTAAAAGGGACGAACAAGTATTAAGAACAGTGTATGGAAAAAGTGATGTGATGTGGGATGTGTGTTAGAACAAAACAAAGTAAAATGAATGAGAAGGAGAACAAAGAGGGTTAGGGTTCAACAGAAAAAGATTAATTCAGCCAAAAAACACAATTTTGATTAATCTAAAGTGTAAAACAATCTTCAACACAGACCAAATGAGTGCCCTTGGGCAACAAAACATGGTGGGGCAAAGAAACGATAAATTAAATTGAGAGAGTGGGAGACTAAAAATGATACTATGATAAATATTCAAACTATTTACAAAACTATTTACAGAAGCTCCCGTTGAACCAGCAACAAAAACAGGTTTGTCAACAATAACGAGGCCACTTTGCCAGGGGGAGGTGATCCAGCGACGAGACAATAAAGCAATTCATATTAGGTTCTGTTGAGACACTACAGAATATAAAACCTTCCAAGCCATGACCTCTGCCTGAAATCAGGACCACTCAGAGGAGAGTACAGCACATCAAACTGGAGTCAGGAGTGTGAATAACACATTTTGGCCAAAACAAATTGTTGGAGTAGAGTAGGCTATTATTTGTTTAAGACTGAATAATACCTTTGAAGAACAATCATTAAACTAGTGTGTATATTACAATACAAAGGAATCTATCCTAGCATGCCATCATCCATTAAAAAGTAGCGCTAGTTGTACAGTACAGATGAGTTAACACGGAACAGTACAACAACAACAAAAGTACAGTCAACATGTCACATAATGAAATGTTAGTATATCCCAAAATTCAATGAAATATTAAATGAAATATTTATCACAAACGCCACCTCATTTCTACTAGTGCTAGCAGTTAAGTCATATCATACAGAAAAAGCCGACTAAGGATGGCTGACACGGTCAGGTTCAGCAGATAAAAACCAAAATAACAATAAAAACACATAATCAATCTAAATCCTGCTTGTTAGTTACCCAGCATCATTGATATATAAGCTGCTAGCGATTCATTACTGAAATCTTACCTTCAAAGCTGACGAAGTCGCGCTAGCTAACTAGCAGGCAATGCTAGCTAAATTGGTTGTAACAACCAAGATAAAACATAGATAATTACGCTGTGCATATACAAATGAAGACCAGTATAAGCATCATAAAGGGCCTCTGATACAATATAGACAGTTGACAATTCAAAAGAGTTCGATATTTCAGCAACTTACCTCTGGAACTAATCGACGCGCCGTAATGTCAGTGAATGAGGTTCAACGCCCAAATGACAATATTTTTGAACTATGAAGTAGGCGCCGCCATTTTTTTACAACGGAGGTCTATGGGAGTGTCGTAACTCTTAAATCTCTAGGGCAGGGGTGGGGAACCTCCGGCCCCCGGGCCGTATACGGCCCGCGAGACCATTTGGTATGGCCCTCGAGGTAATTTATAAACACACGCAAAAAAGAATAAAAAATTAAAGAAATCTAGACCGCAAAATAATTAAACAAGCGAGTGCCTGTTTTTCCTGGCAACGGTCATGGTCCTTGAACACAACACGAGCCTAACGTGTCATCACGTGGTATATGTCTCGTCTGACAGGGGTGCAATTCTGACGGAGAGCACCAGAACGCCACTCCGGGACTTCAAAAAATTGCAGTACCCATAAATCCGTACCTATGGTCTGTACACATGCTGCAGTTTCTGTGTGGCTGTGTCTTAGTTGAAAGCCCAGTGGTGATCTGTTCATCTGTCATTCTGATCATACAGTCAATAACTTTGTTGTTATTAGCATCTGGTTAGCTAGCTATGCTAACAAATATAAGAAGCTTTTTCTCCAACCAGTGAGGTAAAGGCACATCTTTATATGATCATTATAGTTATCAAAAAACAAGAGAATAAAGTAAACAGGTATAAAATACTATATGACAGTAAAAAAAAGTTGTTATTAATAAACAAGAATACAGTTTGAAAGGAGAGTGATTTGTAAAATATCCATAAAGAAAAAGTAAATCTGCTTCCAGTTCTGTTTCAAATGGGTGTTGAGAGATGTTTCCATAGATCTCTTTTTTCATTTTGCTCTCAAAGTGCACCAGATTGATGCTTTCAACTTCAATATTTAAAAAAAAATCTTCCCGGGGGAGCATGCCCCCCGGACCCCCCTAGAGGAGGTTAGGTCCCCCCCCCCCACTTAAATCATGTCCACATGGATAGGAAACTAAATACATTTGCACACATCTTGTGTCCATATCTTTCTGTTCTGGTAGTCATGCCACAACCGTGCACGTGAATGCATGTGCGAGTCATGGCAAGATATCTGGATTAAGAGGTTGCTTTTTCTTTGCACAGCATGAAAGAAAGGCCAAATGAATGGGCTGTGATTTTTAAGCAGAGGTCAATAATTTGTACGGCCCTCGAAGGATGTTGAAGAAATTGAAATGGCCCTTGAAAGGAAAAAGGTTCCCCACCCCTGCTCTAGGGCTCTGGGCTACATGAGCTGAAGCTTGGTTGCTAGGTTACTAGCTGGGTGTTCTCCAATAAGGGGCCGGGGGAAACAAAGTTAGTGATTACTGGTTCCATGTTGATTTAATTCAATACAAATTGTTGGGGGGAACTGAAAGGCTATTACCGTACTGGTTACTTTGCAGCCCGGACATTTCCCCCAAAACACATTTAGACGCTATCGCAACATAGAAGTACCTTTCAAATCCGATCATTTTTAAGACCTTCTGAATCATATTTAAGACCTTTTTAAGGCCTTAAATTCTGATTATCAAATTTAAGACTTGTTAAGACCCCGCGGGAACTCTGATTGTAACCTTTTTTAATTGTCTGAACTTCTCCCACCTCTGACAATAAATCCTGAGTGTTTACCCTGCTCTGAAGGTTATTTTCATTTTACAAATCCTGCACTCAGCTTTGCTTTCTCCAATATCATTGAAAAGCAGCCAGATGCTGCTTCTTTTTTCGGTTTTCGCTCATTTCTTGACTTTTTCCGACGCGCTTGCATTTAAATCCGTCTCCCCGTCGCTCTGTGCAGCTGGCCTGTACCACTACACATGCTGTGCCCCCCACCCTTCTTTCACATAATGGTATGATCCTAGTGTGTCCTCACATATGATTGGCCGCATGGTGGCCCAGCTAAATAAAGACCCGCACCTGCCTGCAAGGATTCTCAGCAAGAGTAGGAGCGGCTGAAGATTCTGCTTTCCCCGACGGGAGTCTGCTCTTCTAGCGGCAGCTCGCGATCGGCGTGTTGGAGACCTCTGAATTAAAGTACACCTCAAGTCAGAAGGCTCAAGTCCAAGTCAAGTCCCGAGTCATTGGTGTTTAAGTCCAAGTCGAGTCAAGTCTTTTGTGATGTTGTCAAGTCGAGTCTCAAGTCATAAAATGTGTGACTCGAGTCTGACTCGAGTCCAAGTCATGTGACTCGAGTCCACACCTCTGGTGTAGAGTGACCAGGTGTCCCGCTTTGTGCGGGACTGCACACACAGCATTTTTATCATTTGTCCCGCGTCCCACAAATTGAGACTATGTCCCGCATTTGAGTGACAGTCGCACAGAAAAGCCGAGCCGAGCCTGTTGACAGTTCACGAGCGCGTCCATAGTGTCTCTCCACCGTCCGGTCACGTCCACCCAGTAAAAAAATCCCCACTACACCACTACTACCTTAACATCAAGGATCTTATAAATGAAACTTCTGAATCAAACCGTCCCGGTAGCCCAACCTTAAAAAAGCCGAAAAGCACATAATGACTTATTTAAGACTCGGTTTTTCAAAGTTTAGGACTTGGACTTCACTTGAACTTGCCCATCCTGACTTGAGACTTGACTTGAGCGCAAAGACTTGAGACTCACTTGTGACTTGCAAAACAATGACTTGGTCCCACCTCTGCTAATAACTCCCACGTCTCCTTCTGTCTCTCTCCTCACAGCAAAGAACTTCTTTCGGGTTTCCTACTGTGCCGGAGGTCAGCTGCAGAGCCACTGCTTCCAGGCCAGCGACACCTTCAACAAGCAGCAGTGGATCAACTGCATCAGACAAGCCAAAGAAGCTGCAGCGCTGACAGAAGACCAGCCCCCACAGATAGGACAATGTGTGGAGACAGAGCCGAGTGGACAGACAGGGTTGCTGGGTGAGATGGGGCTGCTGGGTGAGATGGGGCTGCTGGGTGAGATGGGGCTGCTGGGTGAGATGGGGCTGCAGGAAGAAGAAAATTGTATGTGGAGGGAGGGGGAAACAGGGCGAGAGGTAGGTCTTATCGGAGAGACAGATCTGGGGAAAGAGGAAGACGTGGGTTTGAGTCACGAGACATTGATGGGCATGGGTGGGGGGATGGGGACAGGTTCGTGTTTGAATGAAGGGACTGTTTTGGAATTAGATGGAACAACAATGAAGGATGTTGAGACAAGGCTGAAAGAGACGGGCAAGATGGAGACAGGACAGGGAGTCGGTGAAGAGATGGGAACCGGAGCAGACTGGAGGATGGATGGAGGAGGAGAGGTGCTGAGCCGAGGTCCTAATAATGTCCCCACCTTCCTTCTCTCCCCTGCTTCTCCCTGTCGAGAGGAGAAGGAGCGGGAGGTGATGGAGGAGGAGTGTAGCAGCACTGAGGAGGGGGAGGAGGTGGACATGGACACAGACCTGCAGGGCGAGGAGCTGGACCTCAGGTGCTGATGTTAGACTCAAACGGGAGGATGATGCACTGAGGCACTGGCAGCCAATCAAATCGATGATGATGTCACTAAAAGGCAGACAGAACATCCAACACACTAACCTGCCCTAAATAGCATGGGAGTTTCCTTAGTTTGTCCAACACCTTAGTATGAAACCAATAGCATGTGAAATGCATACTATTTCTGTAAAACTGTGTACACACTGGCATAAATATCCCACAATGCAATGTGGGAGTGACGCCAAAATGCATAACAATCACCATGGTAGATCTGGAACAAGATATACAAGTTTGCCTGCATTTTCTAACAGCTGAAGGACTTCTACAGACGTGAAGGAAAAACAAAAAACTCAAGAGGTTCATTGTTCCTTGCTGTCAGGTGGAGGCTGTCGGGAAGTGGTAGTTACAGCTCTGTGTGTCTGAAAGATACATAATGCTGTTTATTCACACTAAAATATGTGAAATAATGGTACACATATTGTGTGAAACATAGTATGCGATTTCAGACGCAGCTCCATTTAACTGTACTTAATGCAAGGATGTATTGAGAGAATTGCATACCATGTTAAAGGATGCCAAAAAGGATTTCCTCGTGCTTTTCTATTTTTGGCTCACAGACCAACTTACCGCAGACTAACCCTGATTTACTGATACGGCTCTAAAAGACTTTATTTTTTATCTGTGATAAACGCTCAAATGCTGATAATGCAAACACTTGTTTGGAGAGTTTGTAATACCCAGAAATTGTATTTATGTTAATACTGTCTGTTGTTTTATTTCACAGACAGTCTTTTCTAGCTTCCCGGTTTCTTTTTTCTTAATACGTTTCTTCATTATACTGGCTCAATGTTATTCTTTTCTTTTGATCTGCCTTTGGAAAAACTGTTTTGCTGCAAATAGTCTAGGCCTTTACATAAGACAGTCCACTCATTCATTGTCAAATTTGAAGTCTTACTTTATGAACTTCTGCTATTTGCTGGTTCAGGACGGTAAGAATTTCAGCAGCATTCTCAGGTATTACAAACAAAATGTTAATGCGGAGAGACCAAATGAGTCCATCTCATAAAAGTCAATGGAAGACAATGACATGTTTTTAATGGCAAAGCTTTTTAATCAATGAATCATGCTTGCAGCTGTGACTACCACTCAACAATAACACAATCATTATATTTAAAAAAGAAAACACTACCGGAATTTCCCTTCCGGATTGAATGCCTTAGGGAAATTCCAGTATTGTGTCTCTTACTGTAGACACTTAACAATTCTGCTGCAGGGATTGGATAAATGAGGCAGGAACTAGTCAGCCAGAGCTCAGCACCTGCTAAAGCTTTACAAATCAAATTAACCAGTAATTATCTGAAACTTATACCTTTCATTTTGTAGATTTTCTGTTCTTCCAGCTCACTCCAAGCATTCCTTGCTCCTTCGCCTTTCTCCTAGCTTGTTTTAACTCTTTAAATAATGTCTTAAAATCTGTTGTAATGTCTGAAAACACCTGTTGCATTTTCAACGTTTCAAATGACTTTTACAACACTTTAATAATGAATGAATGTAATCATTTGCAAAGATTACAGTATCTAGTTGTATGGCAATGCTCAATGCAGACAGTGATGTTAATACAATGTTTTTTTTTACGTCAAGTGAAAGGTTGTAACATTTCAACATTTGAAACCAATTAGCTCTTTAGACTCCTTTAATGAAGGTTTTAAGTCACATATACTGTATGATTCAAAACCACTGCTGTTATCGTTCAATACTGTAGGCACAGATAAACCTTCTGTACACCACCTTTCCAAAATCAAACAGCAGACAGATAAGATTATGAAGTGAAGAAAGTGGAAAATCTTGCAGCTGAAAAGCCAGATATTTCTCTCAGGAGTACTGGCCTTCCTATCTTCAGATGGAAAGAAAGAAGACAACTCTAATGTGACATTCTTTCACTTTTTAAATGACACGGAGGTTGCTGTTGCAAAGAAATGATAAATGCAGTGTTTGCAATATTTTCACAAGAGTATTGCTGAAACAGAAAATGTGGTGTGACTTTTCACTTAACTGTATTTGATCATCTCAAATAGTTGTGTATAAATGAATTAGTTGGAGGTATATAGAATCCCCGAGTGGACAGTGTGGAAAAAAGGTTCTGATGATTTCTGAGGTAAATGGGTTTGTCTCGTGTTACTCACCCGAAAGCAAACATGAAAGATTATGATATAGTGAGCATTACACACACAAAGGTTTTTTCTCTCCTTGTCATAGATTTAAAAAAGGATCCTGGCAAATAATCCTTGCATAAGCTTTTCTTCCTGTTTCACAAATCATATTTTTAAGGAATTTGGAAAGATTGTCTTATCAAAACCTTTTTTCAACTGTTTTTATTTCATAAACTCAGGAGAGAAACAATTATGATGTTGCAAGTGGATAACCATATTTCTTTTTGTATTACCTCCCTCTTTCATTAATACACATTTACCTATTCAGTATTAATATCATTTTAAGGTCATTTTAGCATGGAGTCTGCCTAAAGCATTCCTAATTCATTAAACTGTCAGTAATTACTGATCTATTTTTTGAAGTCGGTTTGAAAGATGTCCTTGCAGCTGCTGAAGGAGTTTCTAGGAAAGTAAATGCTGTTTTGTTGTGCCAACCAGAGAAGTCCTAAAGCAGGAATATGTTGTGTATGTATGTAAAGAGTGTATATTAAGTCTATCTGTATATGAATGTAGGAACGAAGCCAGGCATGTCTGTTTGTTATATTTTTGATTACACATAACCTGTAAAATATGACTTTTCAATGTCAAGACAATCACTTTTAAATTACCACTGTCAGGATAGTTGGGATACTGAGAGAAAGGCCCAATTCCAAACCGCCCCTTACACCCTACCCCTCTGTTCGCGCAGAGGGTGCACCACATTAAGGGCTGTTCCAAACCAACGAGTGTGGAGGGGGAGTGGGTTACCAGCCCTCCAACAGCGAGTCTGCATCGATCCTGACTTCACCTGCTGCTCTACCTGACAGGACTCAATGCTGTGTGTGTCCGTCATGAAACACGCTGTTTACTAACAGTTCACTGATAAACTGCACAAGAGCTATTTAATATCTTCTTACAGATGTTAACAACTTCATGGTTACCTCGTATTTGTTTAAACTTAGGATCATTTACTCATGTCTAGTCTAGAAAACGGTAAAAGTTGTGTATATTTACAGACTTTTACTAAAACTAAGCAGATTATAAACATCAGGTTTTAAAACAGAAATATGTTAACAAAAAAAGTATGCCATAAAAGATCTTTAGAGTTTATTTTTATATTCCAAGAGATGCTGATTCCTGTTTCTGCCGGAGTTCGTCCCAAAGCTTGCTGCTGTATTTACTCTCTCCACCTGAAAGAAGGAGGAGCCTCTTTCAGCTGAGTGTGACTACAGACAGAGTTCACTCCATCATGGAGGGGGAGTGGTTAGGGTCTGGTTTGGAATTGGGCCAAAATGTTTCTGACCAAACTTGTCTCCACTCTCAGTTGCTGACAGTAAGTTGCTCCTTATGCTGTTCAAATGTATGGATTTTCACAAGACCAAAGCATCAATAAATTGTTATAAAAGAAGCCAGTCAGTGAATGGGTGATTACTGCAGGTTCCGAATGTGGCGGTGTGGTGAGGGTAGGTGTTAGAAGTCGGTTGCGGACAACGCAATCGACGCGTTTCCACTGCAGGCCTCGCTCGGTTTGGTTAGGCCTTATTAGCAGGGCTGCACATAACTGGTGCGCAGGTGCACCTCCGCCAAAAAAAGAGCACCGGGTCATTTGAAAAAAGGCGCATTTGCGTACCAACATTGAGAGAGAGGAGAGAGAAGAGAGAGAAGGGAGAAGAGAAGAGAGAAAGATATTTGCGAGTTGCATATGAACTCAAGGCCGGCCCGTAGCCCTGGCGTTATAGATGTTCGTGAAGGGCGCCAGATCTGTGGAGGTGCTGCGCTGGCAGCTTTGGGAGGGAAACAAACATTTTTGACCGTTGGGGCTCATCCTAATTTTCGGCCTTGATGTAACAATATTCATAATTAAGTAAATGTAACACCCTTTTCACCCCGGTTACACGTTTCATTTGCCCTGTACGATGGGCGCTGTAAGTGATGAAAATGGGGGATGTTGGCTTATCTGGCACCCGCAGCTCATAGCCAAAATGCGAGTGAGCGTGGGAGAGAGGGAGGGTGCACCGGTTCCGGCGCTGTTGTTATTAGAATCTGGTGCTAGCTGCTCTAACGGATATAAGAAGAAGATGTTTCTACAATAATGTGGAGGGAGAGTCCTCTCCAGTCAGACTGAGAGGCTGATAACTACAGCTCAGTGAGGTAAGGACTCTGAGTGTTTAGATAGTTCACTTTAGTCTAAGTTATCTCAGTGGGTCTCAAACGTTTTGATCACAAAGTATGTAAACACATATTTCCAAGGCACTCCTTTATAATTATTGGGATAAACAGGTTTGAAATCATTCCAATGCATACTATAGGACAGTAACCAAAAAGATCCTTTAAAACTGGAGAGATAAAAAAAAAATGCATAAATAAATGTTAAGGTAAAATAAGATATGAATGAACAACACAAATAAAAGAAGTTACATTCATTTGTTATTGGCTATGGTAGGTTATTGGTTATGTTCACATACTTATTTGATTACATCCACTTGTCTAAGATGACAACAGAGACTTTCGACCCAAACCAGCTGTTGACTTGTGGATGCAAGCAGCTAATCACAGACTCAACCAGAGAGGAAGAAGTAGGCCTACATCATCAGCTACCATGTCTGACAGAGAGGAAGACAGTGAGGAGAACAGTCAGGAGGGTCGTAATGACAGCTTGTAGGATTACTGGTCGTGCTAATGTTGTCTTGTGTTCACCTCTGCATGTGTGTTCTGTGTTCACCTCTGCATGTGTGTTCAGTGCCGTGTGTCTGGCAAATAAAGTCAAGACCCCCTCAAAAGTTACGGTTTATTTCATTTTAAGGATGAGCACCAAGCAACATATCCAGGTGCTCCTTTGAGAACCAGGGCAAAAAAGTTATGTGCACCCCTGCTTATTAGGCCTGGCTCACTTTTGGCGCGTTTCCACTGCAGGCCTCGCTCGGCCTTGCTCGGTTTGGTTAGGCCCGGCTCACTTTAATGCTGCGCTTCCATTACAGTTTAGGAACTGGGGCAGTTACTATAGTAACGCAGTGTAGGCGGAGCCGTGACGTCATCTTCAATGTGAGCCCCAGAAAAACAACACAGCCGTTAGCTCTTAGCACTCAGAGCTCCTCATATCTGTTCAGAAACTAGACAAAAGTTAAACAAGTACAAACCACAGACTGCCTGTGTCATGGCGAATACAGTCGCTGGTTTATTTATGTCTGTATAGGCCGTTGTTGTGAGTGTGGACGGTCGGAGCATATATAACGTTAGCTTAGCCAAGCTACATTTAGAAAACACGCATTTTAAAAGGGTTTTTCGCCTGCCGTCTGTCTGCAGACTTGTCAAAGCATTAATTCATGGTTTTTACTAACCGGTATCAGTATGTTGTTACTTCGGCATCATTTTGAAACGTGTATTACAATTAAATCACGGTCAAATATGTTCATCTTGGTGTAGTTGTAGCCCCCTTGCCAGCGATTCTCTCTCTAGTTTAGCATACTCAGCCCGAGTCAGCCTGGTTGTTCCTGGCCCTAGAACCACGATTTAGTCGGGCCAGAAAAAAGGTGAAAAAGTAGCCCCGGGCCAAAACTAGGCCAAGTGGAAACGCAACCAAAAACGGGCTCCGCACGGCTCGTCACGCTTAAAGCGAGCTACCCGCTGCAGTGGAAACGCGCCATTTTAATGCTGCGCTTCCATTACAGTTTAGGAACTGGGGCAGTTACTATAGTAACGCAGTGTAGGCGGAGCCGTGACGTCATCTTCAATGTGAGCCCCAGAAAAACAACACAGCCGTTAGCTCTTAGCACTCAGAGCTCACAGCTCTTCATATCTGTTCAGAAACTAGACAAAAGTTAAACAAGTACAAACCACAGACTGCCTGTGTCATGGCGAATACAGTCGCTGGTTTATTGATGTCTGTATAGGCCGTTGTTGTGAGTGTGGACGTTCGGAGCATATATAACGTTAGCTTAGCCAAGCTCCATTTAGAAAATACGCATTTTAAAAGGGTTTTTCGCCTGCCGTCTGTCTGACGACGCTGAAGTTGGCTTCCGATTCAGAGCATCCGATTCGGCAGTTAAGGGGAAAGTTAAGGGACATTTAATTTACAGCGCTGAGCGAACAATTCTCCGTGTTTGAACCTCTTAAATAACTGCATAGCCGATTTATTTGGACTGGATTATCCCAGAGAGTCTAAATAACCCAGTTTGAGATTTGTGAAACCTTTATTCTATTTGTGAAAATTAAAAAAAAGGGAGATTTCAGTGCTTTTTTCACATGTAGACCACATTAGACCAGGTCCTGATCTAAAACCACTAGACCTACACTCATCAAATCTGGACTGGATTATCCCACAGACTCTAAAGATTATTTATAACCGAGTTTGAGATTTGTGAAACCTTTATTCTATTTGTGAAAATACAAACAAGGGAGATTTCAGTGCTTTTTTTTTTACATGTAGACCACATTAGACCAGGTCCTGATCTGAAACCACTAGACCTACACTCATCAAATCGGGTAAGTATGGACAGCTAATTAAGGAAGAATAAAGTCTTTACTTCTCAAATGTATTATAATTTTGTGTTGCAAATAAAAATTCAACAGATAAGTAGGTATACTTATATAAATTTAATTTATTTACAGTTGCAGGCAAAACATTTCAACGGGAAATTAAATATAGTCTATAACTAGCATTGTTCAAGTTTACTTTAAGCAACAAGCTTTATTTGCCTAATTACAGTATGTCATCTTGAGTACTAGGATTGCTTCGAATGTGAAAAACATTACAAGATTAGAAAATAACACTTTGGTAAAAATAATTGCTATTCATATTTTGCTTTAGGACAAAGCAGCAGAAGCTGTTCAAAGTGGATGAAAGACTGAAGGTTAGCCTTTTTCTTTATCTCATGAACCTGAATTCCTTTAACATCTTTTTCATTTTTTTGTTTGCTATGAAACAGTATTTAAGATACGAAAACTTTGTAGATAAAGAATTATCACCTAAATGAGGAGCATACACTTATTTTTATTTATTTATTCATTTGTTTAACAGGGACAGTGCACATTAATTAACATTCCTGTCAATGTGCCAGAGTTAGCCAAGAGGCTATTTTTCATCTGTTGTCCCTGGACAGATTTTATAAGTGAACCTAAAACAAATTTCATTTAAACAAGTAAATACAATCAAATTAAAACATGCAACATACATTACTGGAATACTTAAATAAATGAAAAGACAGAACAATAAAACAAAACAAAAGAACATGTTGTGACGACCCCTCCCCCTTCTGCCTGTCTGTGCTCCCTGCCTTGCTGTCCTCTGGCAGGCACTGGGAGTGTCGTCCTGTTTGTGCCCGCCCATCTAGAGGCGGAGCCTCAAGAAGGCATAAAGGCTTGCCCAGCTGGGAGGAACACTTTCTGATCCTGATCCTGGCCTGCTGCAGCAACCTCAGCCTTCCACCTGTGTTTGTATTTTCACAAATAGAATTAAGGTTTCACAAATATGAAACTGTGTTATAAAGAATCTTTAGACCCTCTGGAATAATCCAGTCCAGATTTGATGAGTGTAGGTCTAGTGGTTTTAGATCAGGACCTGGTCTAATGTGGTCTAGATTTTAAAAAAGCACTGAA